ACTATACTACAGACAGCTGGTCATCCAGATGTACTTGGATTCAATAGTTTCAAAAAACAAAGTATTCATAACTAGAATAAATAGTGCGCTTTATTTCAAGTAAGCATAAGATAGAGATAGATAACGATTACACAAAACATTTTGCTTTCTGAATGTAGATTATTAAGTTGTACCACTCTTCAACTTATTTGGTATAATGAAATATAAATTTGAGTAAAGGACTTCGCGAAATTTTCCTCGCGTCACTGTACAAAGCCTCACACTAGTTATTGGAACTGTGGAGCATGGCATTTCTCCCGTTTCTGCCCGTTCAATGAACATAAATGCGCAAAATATGGAGTAACTGACCATAAGGAGGGATCCAGATGATCCGATTGTTTATGGTTCTGATAAGGTAGTTCATGACCAGAGACCTATTGCTTTATTGCGTTGTTTAATCAAAAAGAATATTATGGTGGACCCAAATAAATGTTCATTTTGTGTATCTAGTTTTGAATGTCTTAGATACCTAGTTGATGGTAATGGTTTTATACCACATATGAAACGACTAGCTCGACTGATAAATGCACTGATAATCAGTAATATGTCGCCTAGCACTTCTGAAGAACATATTTAATCTAAGCGCGAGTTCATATGACCACACCTGCATGGTAAAGTCATGCAAGTTCGATTAATTAGCCGGTATTTTCGACAATACTGAACTCCTCTCAGTCTTAAATATTGAATGTTAACTTTCTCAGTTATCTTATTTTTATCTTCGAGTATCATGTGGTTATAACCAATAGCATTACACCACTCTTTCACCATATAAAGTGCGATCGGTGCGCACCTAAGGTTACCAATAGAATATTACTAATCTTCCGTGCCTTGATAAACCGAAAGATAAATTAAACGGAATGTAGCAGCAACTGATTGAGAGACACATGTCATGATCTTAAAACGTTCGGATACATTGTTAACACACTCAAAATGAAAATCTACGTGAACATTATTCATGTACTAAACAGAGTGTGGTTATCATAAGGAAGAATGATTTAATACAGAGGTATTTGAGCGAGTCTTATTAAGGTACATAGTAATCACCTTTGGTTAAGAGCTCAACATATATGCAGTACACGTATTTTGTGCTTAGAAATAGAAAAAAATCAATAATCTAGAAACGTTGGTATTCGTATTATTTCTGGTTTAAATCAAAACGACAGTTGATGTTAATGTCGGTATGCTGTCCGTACGAGTTGATTTTCAATCGTATTTGCATTAGTAGGCCAACTGAAAGAACAAAAGTATAACTGAGGAGAGTAAGAATTGCAACTAGAGAGCTAGGTAGTTTTTTAAATTTAACACCGTTTATTTAGTTGTGGGAACCACATCATAGTTTAACCGTTATATGAATCAACAAAACTGCTATTTCATGTGAATGGTTGGCAAAATTTGTTTTAGTATGTGAAAATTGATGATTATGTGAGTTTCGGACAAATACCTCAAACATGAGTAATTTCTAAATAGACCTTCCCTAGACTCAATTTTCTAATTTGGAATGGAACATTTATCTACATTCATACACACTGGTTGAAGGTGTTTACATGTCAATTAAGTATTAGTTTGGGATACTGAGATCGATTTGTATAAACCAGAGTGACTATAAGGCATTAAGATCAACGGAGCTTATGCGCCACAAATATGAATGAGTTGTGCAATGCTCTGGGCTAAATAAATCTTCACAAGATGATAAGCAGTGATTGCTGCTCATGTAATTATCAGGGAGAGAAAAAGATGTAAGCCATAAAAGTGCAACTCCCAAATAATGTCTATGATAATGGGATGAACCTTTTTCAGTTTTGTGAAGTGAATTCGACAGCAACTTTTTCGGTTTGCAAGAGTTTTCCCCGGCTGTTTATACTGATGATTTGCAAGAATGATTGCATCGCTAAAAATCTAAATAGCCGGAAAGTTTCTGAAATGTCCACCATATGAGTAAAGATCATGGGATTCATCTGCCAAGTTTAAATTGTACAGTTGCATGCACGCTGACCATTGTGAACCATGCTTCCCCTCAGATGACGGAGTCTTCATAATTCAGCCAACCACCAGAAGAAAGAGGAAGGGGGAGAGTAGACAGCCTTGTCTGACTCCGGTTCTTACTTGGAATGCATCTGTCAGTTGTCCTCCATGCACCACTTTGCACTGTACTCCGTCGTATGACTTCCGGATAATGTTGACAAGCTCCTCAGGAACTCCATAGTGTTGAAGAAGTTTCCATAATGTTCTCCTGTCCACACTGTCAAACGCTTTCTTATAGTCTTCCTCCCAAATCTTTTTGAATAGAAGGTGAAGCATGGTTGCAGTTACTTCAATGTCTGACTTCAGTGCTTCAGTTGGTATACTGCCAGGTCCTGCTGCTTTCCCGCTCTTGATTTGTCTAATGGCTGTCCTGATTTCTTCGATCGTTGGTGGAGTGACATCAATAGGAAGATCTGTGTGTGCTGCTTCGATGTCCGCTGGACTCTATGGAGCTGGTCTATTCAACAGTTCCTCGAGGTATTTTACCCATCTGTTCCTCTGTTTTTGAATCTTCGTGGTTAGCTTGCCTTCTTTGTGCTTGACCGGTCTCTCTGGTTTGCTATTACTTTGTCATATTTCCTTCTCGCAGCTTTTTCCGCTGTCGTTGCTAGTTCTTTCACGTATTTCTGCTTGTCGGCCTCAATACTCTTCATCACGTGCTTGTTTGCTTTTGTGTACTCAGCTTGTGCCTTGAATCTCTCTACTCGTGTTTGCTTGTTATTAGTTGATGTCTTCTATTGAAAACTTTTCCCGGTACTGACAGTGACATGATACCTCTGGAGATCTCACATTTGCTAAGATCCCTTTTCTTTGGTAAATTGATGAGATGTGCTTCTTTCCAGTTCGTCGGCATGTAGCTTTATGCATACGTTTGTAATGAATATGGTGCCACCTATAACCATTTTGTTGAATGCACGTACATTTGCAAATCTGTCACCATTCTCGTTTCTCTCTCCCAGTCCATGTCGTTTCACGATATCTTTATATCAGGTGTTGTCCATTCCGACCTTGGTGTTTAGGTCTCCCATCAGGATGGTCAGTTTCTTTCCTGAGCACTTCGATATGATTGATTACAGCCTCTCATAGAACTGATCTTCATTGTCGTCGTTACCATCATTGGTGCACGATGCAATGGGAGGACTTCACATTTTGGCTCGTTTACCGTACGTTCTATGGTACCAACAAATGTTATGTTGAGTGGTGCTTGGACAACGACGTCTACGGCTTCTGGACCTTCCTTTACAATTGCAGTGCTGGGTATTCGAAAATCAGAGCTGGGCCATCTGTTTAATGAGGACATCGACTGTTTGCCGTAACTCGACGATCTCGTCAGTTGAGTTTTTTTGCATGTGATATCAAGTGAGTCCTAGTCTGCTCGAGATTCTATTGACTATGTCAGCTAGCCTATTAAAATCGACATCTTCGTCTCCAATCGCTAGTATCTGTTGGATGTTTTGCGAGCGACGTCTGGGCCACATTTGATATATTAGACGTTTATCTACTATACGATTATCCAACACATTTGTCATATGGGGTTTTAATTTAGATGGTGTTTTGTCACCTAACTCTACGTCGGCTAAAAGTTGATCAATGGTCACCGAATCTCGATCTCGTTCGCAAATATAAGTGAACCCGTGACAGTTTTTCAACCCTAACAGTTTGGTACATGTTCAATAAACTCGTCCTGCAGCAATGAGTTTGAGTAACTAAATTTCGTGCTCTGACTTGATTCTGTTTGCGACAAAAATATTTTCTAAGCGTGCAAATCAGATCTCAGCCTTTTGAGGGTTAAAGACAGGTAAAGGTACAGAGATGGCACCCTTGGAGATAGACTTAGACGAAAGGCTTGGTGAATTATCAAGTTACATGATACAAAGAGTTAACAATAGCAATAATAATAAGCTGAGGATCAAAATATACAATAGGAAGGAATAAATATCAATAAGAAATATATATGAGAAATTCACCGAGAATATACTGTCACTTCGGGTTTAAATATGCGAATATACAGCAATAATCCTGAAGGAACAATGTTATGGGTGAATTTATCATGATCATCAATGAATTCTTAATAATTGTAATAGTAATTCAAATGTGAATTTCGTTGTTATGCGATTGGAGGATATGCAGTAGACTTTGTAGAGAGATGGTGTGTGTTCTAAATGCGGCTCATCAACTTTGTGGAGGCTAATTTCCCTTACATCTAACTCCAATAAATAGTCCCACGTTAAACGAGTATTTAACGCAGACTAAATCTCCTAGTAGAATTATGGATTTACTCGAGATGAGTCAAATGCCCGAACACCAGGTATAGAGAGAGTTCGTTGTTAAAGTTAAGTAAAATCCGCTAAAGTGCAGGAAGCAAGCACAGAGGGAAAACGAGTGCGTATGTGTGCTAAAAATCCATATATATATATATATATGAGTGGTAATGGATTGTGGATAAATTATTGGTTGTATTCGCTTACAGCCTTTGAGAGAATAGATTAAAGATTGATGTACAAACACGCGCTCAACCATACTCACACATATTTTTGCACAGTGGACTAAGTGTCCTAATTACAATGAGTAGACAAATAATAACGTAGTTGAATGAGCTTACTAGAGAGGTATCGGCCTCGTGACTTCAGAAGAACCTCAGCTTCCATGCTAAGGCGTCATAATTATCCCTTCAACTCCCAGGGCAGAGTTTGAATGGTTTGTTTTGTTTAATCTGTTTGGTGCTTTTTGGAAAGATTTTTTTGACGGGGTGCGGTTGCTGACCAAATGCCCAACCCTCCTATTTTACCTGAGCTTTGGACCAGCAGTAACTCTAGAAGAGCTACAGGCAGATTTGAAAGGCGGAAACTGAGTTGAATAACTTTATGAACCTGTTTGAGTATATATAAACGCTTAAACACTTACAGAGTCTTACTAACTTGGTGACACCTGCTTTCAAAAAATCTTCTGGCGGGAAATTTTTCGTAGCAGATTACACAGGCTGGCATAGTGGATGCCGTTCATACTCAAGTTTTGCTCAACGGAAAGCCTATTTTAAATCACCTTCACAGTTCGATTTCATCCAAAGCACGTAGTATCCTCTGTATCAGTTGCTGTAGTCTAAAACGTTGAACTTGGGATTTTGCGCCAAGTCGAAACTGTGGTTATGGCGGGTCCTGAATCTACTAAAAATTCTATTAGGCATCATGTGTACGCTTTGTCCAAAATGTTTGGGTTTGTCACTTTTATGTGCTACTCACTCCCAACAGTGTTGATTTGATGTATGATTCAAATATGTACGCGTTTGCAGACAGTCTCGAAAAGAGCATTGGCAGTTCGGCTGACACTCAGGTAAAAAATCTGCCAAGTTTAATAAAGTAGTACAACATTCATGATTTAATTACCAGACTCTGCAACGATAACCCTCAATATGATGCGTTTTTACGGCGGTATGAGGAGTTGAAACCTAGAAAGTTAGCACAGTTCTTAAAATTACTGGGAATTTTAGCATTAGGGAACTTTCCGCTGTTGTTTATCTCTTATCAAAGCTGAAGTCGGATGACGCTATACTCAGAAGTTTAGAGTATCCTCCTTTTTCTACTAAGTCTGTTAATGGACAAAGCAAAGTCTCTACTATTCCCGTTGGCGAGAAGGTAAGCTCACATCTTACAATTTATTTTGTTCAATTCTTTATCACTAGTGACACTGTGCTTTATATTCTAAATTTGTTGATGAAAAAAAGTGAAGCGCTTGACTAAGATTCGTGTGCTATTGAAAATCTACTTTGGGTAGTAGTTTTATGTCATACCAGGTATCCTGTCGATGTCGACTCGTGATATTTCGACCCTCTTAAATTTACCCTTTAGTAAGGCTTGTGTGTTGTATTGGTCTTTTTTACACCAGTTCTTGTTACACTTTCCCGAAATGTTTTTTGTCAACACAGTAGACTATGATAATGAGAGGTATGCGTTTGATTTTCTGTGTTGTAGCGTAGTTATATAACCTACTTGTTATGAATGGACTTCACTTTGGGAATGGCGGTTAAGTGAAAATCCTTCGTCAGCCCAGCCTATGAGATTCCTCCCAGTTAATCTAACACTTGAGTGCGTTGAAAGGAGCTGTAGTTAAGCGTAAAGATCCTGACCATTGCTGCTATCTAGTCGTAATGGTCGGATAGCATTAGAGCAACTCCCTGTGTGTGTGGAGCATTTTCCACTTTCGTGACCGGAGTACAGCAGCATCTCTCCTGTATCTACTCTTTGCTGTCCAGCTTGGGTTCAATGGGTTTCTCCTTATTTCCGTTGTTATTTGACTGGTCCTCACGGTCTCCCATATTGTCTGGACGTTCCATGTACCTGTAAAATTGTTGCTCTGTTTGTTAGAAGAGGCATCGACCTCGTGACTTCAGAAGCATCTCGGCTTTCATCCTGAGGCGCCATAATTATTACTTCGACGCCCAGAGTAGAGTTTAAGTGGCTTGGTTTGTTTAATCCGGTTGTTTTCTAGCAAGATTTTTTCTACTCTCCTCTTTTACCTGAGCTTGGGACCAGCAGTAACTCTAGAAGTGCTACAGTCAAAGTTAACGATGAGAAAGCCAAAGTTAAACTCCATGAATTACTTAAGCTCTACTTACGCTATTCGAAAAGCGAAGATGACCCAGATGTTGCTTCCGAATATATACGAACAGTTGTGGAAACAGTAGCGACATCTTTTGTTGATTTTAACCAAATGGTAACGAAAATTCGTTTGATTTATACGACATCTATCGCACTGATAGACTCTCGTGAACTTTTCTCATTATGCTCCGAACACAATGACGAGCAAAATCAAATCAGATCTAAGTTAACCGAAAGTCTACGGAACGATCGTGAGCAGTTGCCTGGCAACGAAAGCAGAAGAAATGGAAAAGGCATCGGCTGTAGGTAACACTAGACAGCTTTTAAGATTAATAAAAGAAACTTTAATTAAGAAGTCATTTGTGAGACGATCTCAGAAAAAGATTACACTCGTATCTGCTCTCATCTCAGACGTTTAGAACGATGGGCGAACCACTTCAAGGAACAGTTCAGCTGACCTTCAGCTACTCTACAACTATCCACCATTCCCAAACAGCCTGAATGGAACATTGAAGTAGGTCTTTCGACTATAGTTGGAGTTGAAAAAAGCAATAACTAATCTGAGGCGAGGAAGATCAGCTGCTCGAGATTGATCGGCTCCAGATGTCTTTAAGGACGGTGGTCCAGTTTCAGCGATTAGGTTGACTAATATTTTAGCTAAAATCTTGTAATTTGTTGTAGTCTCATGTGACTGGTCGCAATCACTAATCGTCCCAATATATAAGAAAGGATCAAAATCATCCTGTGATAACCATAGAGAGACTAGTTTAACTAATATAGCATTTAAAATACTAGCCTCAATAATTATCGGGCGCTTAGCAATGACTTGTGAACTGCAAACACGAGAAAATCAGGCTGGTTTCAGACCTGATCGTTGTTGTATCGACCACATATTCACCATTCGTCAGATTTTGGAACACAGGCATGTTTATCGGTGTCCGACAATGATGATCCTTCTTGACTAGCCTGCCTCAACATCTGAACTAAGGATAGTTAGTGAAGTAGTCAAACGCGTCGACTACTTCACTTTTCTTGGAAGCCCATCAGGCTTTAATGGTTTGGTGTCTGGCGAAACCTCTGTACAGATTCAAAAACTCATTAGAATTTTGCGAACTTACGTGACTTATAGCGAAGGCTAGATATCCGTCTATCAATTAAGGGACGAGTATACTGCGTAGCAGTTTGTTCTGTTTTACTTTACGGCTGCGAAACGTGACCATTAAGAGTAAAAGATACTCGTAAGTTACTAGCGCCCCCAAATGCCCTGGTACGGTCGAGAGTGGGTAAGGTCCTCACTCTCTCGAAATGCTCTCACGTGGCCACGTGGATATAGCCTCTGCCAGGGAAGCCCTACTCACTGCCTTCTCTTGGCGGGGGTGTTGTTCACGAAATTGAGTGGACGAAAAGCGGATGTCCGGCGCTTTGACCGGGTTGGTGGACATGGAGAGTCCCACAGGGGGAGTTGGAAAACCCTGATTCCATTTTTATTTATTTATTTATTTGAACACATAAATATTGGTACAGAGGGGCACCAAATATATATGCGCCACACAAAACAATGATAATTTGAAGAGAAGGAGGAAAGAGAAAAAAAAAGTAATGAACGTGGGGAATTATAAAAAAAAAGGGAGAGAGAGAGAACAATGGTGGGGGAAACGGAAAGGTACAATCAGAAGAGATCTTTCAGTTAAGGAAGATATAAACACTTTTTATGAAGAAAGTAAGAGGTTACAGCACGATCGCCACTGGCTTCTATTCTTAGCCATATCTGATAACGTCTCTAGCCACTGCGTTACACCGTCTCTCGGACCCCAACCAGGGAGTCGTGAAGGACCAACAGAAGCTAGCCCTTTGCAGCTTTCTTTCATACCACGACACCATGTCATATACTGACCACCTCTCCGCTTTTTCCAACCAGTCCCAGAGTCGGCAAATAATGCACGACGTGGAATTCTCTGGGACGACATTCGTAGAACATGTCCAAGCCACCGAAGTCGGTGTTTCAAGATGGTGACACCAATTTCATTATCGTCTCTGTGACCGAACACTCGATGCCGAACCTCTGCATTACTGACATGGTGTTGCCACTGGATGCCAGCGATCCTTCGGAGACAACGATGATCGAACACAGAGAGTCGTCTAACATCCTCAACTCGGAGAGGCCAGGTTTCACAAGCAACCAACGAGTCCCCATCGGCCACCTAAACGACTCTCTTCTGTGCCTAGACGCCCGACCTGAGCATTCAAGTCTCCAGCTAGTACTACAATATCTGTCGAACGCACTTTCTGGAGAAGAACAGTTAGCTGATGGTAGAACTCGTCCTTGATTGCATCCGGGCTGCAATCTGTCGGGGCATAGGCGGAGATGACGAAAAGACATCGTTTCTCACGCCGATTTCTCACTTTGATAGAACTTTCTAATCTAACAGCACATAACCGACTGTTAATGGGGATCCAGTCGACTAGTGCTGCCTCAGCTCTTGCGCTTAGTGCGACACCAACGCCAGCAAGACCAGACGAAGATGCCACAGGGTCCCCGGATAAACGCACATAAAACAAGCTTTTTGAAGCGACAGATGGAGAGCGAACTTGTAGTACTTCACCAGAGTCTTGAATACGGGTCTCGGATAGACAACACACATCAATATTAAGACTTTCCAATGACATAGCCAGTCCTATCTGTTGTCCGACCTGCATAAGTGTGCGAACGTTGAAGGTAGCCAGTTTGAATGGTGCACGCGGTTTCAGAAAAACTGCTTCAGTACTCATGTTCGGTAGTAACATACAATTTTCAACCAGGCAGTGACTCGGGAACGTTTAGATAAAGCTGAATTTTCACCATAGGTGAGCTGCTGTCTAGGTCGAAACGCATATATAAAGTAGGAATAAGAGAGGGTGAATAAATGACGTGGTAGAGTAATAATAATAATAATAATAATAATAATAGTACGAGTTATTTCAATGTTAATCAGATAGAAAGGAATATTTTCCATAAGCAAATTGTTCATCATAGTTTTAGTGATTGGGCTGGGATACTGCCCGGGTGCCCAGACCGAAGCAGGTGGTTTTCTTAGGGGGCCACACCCCGAGCCTTTGACCTAAAGGTCTAGTCCACAAGGCAGTGGAGCATCGTGAGGAGATGCAGTCCCATGGAAGCCGGTGACCAAAAGTTGGTTCATACGCCATTTGTTCCCGCAGGATACTGGAGCCCACCACCCTGATTCCAAACCAATGGTGTATATGGGCTCCAGTATCCTGAGGGAACAAATGGCGTATGAACCAATTGTTGGTCACCAGCTACCATGAGACTGCATTTCCTCACGTAGCTCCACTGCCTTGTGGATCAGACCTTCAGGTCGAAGGCTCAGGGTGTGGCCCCCTAAGAAAACCACCTGCTTCGGTCTGGGCTTCCGCGCAGTATCACAGCCCTCACACAAATCAAACAAGATTTGTGTAGCGCTTATGTATTTGGTGCCTCCTTGTACCAATATCTATGTGTTCAAATAATAATAAGTTACTAACAGTAATCCAGTTGTAGTTGGATGAAAACCATACAATGTCAAAAATATCTTAACTACGCTACTTTCCAAAGTTCCCTGAACCTTCTCACCATTTGTATTTTTTGTACGATGTATTTTTTTGTACACGTTGAAAAGTGTTTTTCAAGTATGATGAATGTTTTTCAGAATATAACCCATCTTCAACATGTGAATGACGAGTCTTGTACACTAGGATCAAGTTCAGTGCAACCAGTCAGGAATGATAGTTTGAGACCCATGTTTGGTGCATCAGATGAATTATCTTTGTTTTCAGTATGTGGTCTTGGCGCACATTCCAGTTCATTTGTTCAGGCTTCCAAGAATACATCTAAAAAGTTGGTTTGTAGCAACACAGTCCTACCTCCAACATTTCCTCTGCAGCCAGAGTGGATATACTCACGTGGGACGCTTTGGGATGACTTTCTGTCGATTTCACTTAATTCAGAAGTGAGTCTTAGTGTGCTAAAAGTTTTCCACATTAATTCTCGCGTTTAAAATGGAATTTAATTAGTGCTCCCCCTAAAAGTCAGAGTCGTCAAATTTAGTGTAGTCTTAAAGTAAATGCATAATATTTTTTAGTATTGGTAATTGTTGGCCAGATGTGTCACCATGCCTGTATCTTGTTTTAGTCAGTCTTCCAAAAATCATTGGATTTTCAGACAGTCGGCTCACCGAATGCTTTTACTTGTACACGTCAGCGATTTGCAACCGTGAATAAATGAACACCAAACAAAGTGACATGTCGTTGCCTTATCACTTTGACATCCTAAATATTGCTTTTTGTTTTACTCTGGCTCGATGTTGATCAGATTATTTGAACAGTCGTAACTAATTCAAAGTTTAGCTATTAATTTAACAAGAATGATTAGCCGAATACCCAACTTGACGTTTCTATAAATCGATGGTTTAAAAGTACTGTAAAATTTACTGCCCAATTTTTAAGCATCATTTAGCTTCTGTATAAATACTCCAATATTTGTACACATCTTTTTGTGCTACTTGTTCATATCTATTATTATTTTATTTTATTTATTTTATTTTAACACATAAGTATAGGTACAGGGAGGCACCAAATACATATGCGCCACACAAATCTCAATTGATTTGTGTGAGGGCTGTGATACTGCTCGGGTGCCCAAACCGAAGCAGGTGGTTTTCTTAGGGGGCCACACCCCGAGCCTTTGACCTGAACGTCTGACCCACAAGGCAGTGGAGCATCGTGAGGAGATGCAGTCCCATGGTAGCCGGTGACCAACGATTGGTTCATACGCCATTTGTTCCTTCAGGATACTGGAGCCCATGTGCACCATTGGTTTCGGGTCCGGTTAAAGCGCCATACATTCGCTTTTCGTCCTCTCATTTTTGTGAACAACACCCCCGCCACCAGAAAGCAGTGAGTAGGGCTTCCCTGGCAGAGGCTATATACGCATGGCCATGTGAGAGCATTTCGAGTGGGAGAGCGGACTCTCTCCACTCTCGGCCGTACCAGGGCATTTGGGGGCATATCATATCTAACCTACTTCAGGTACAATCTGTTACAAACTAACGAAGTTGGTTCTGTTTTTGTTGATATAAACGACTGAAAACCGCCCTTATTTGCTAAGGTCCACTCGTCATTCGTGGTACCTAAATAGTTAATTCCGTCACAACGATGTTCTTTTCACTATTTGTTCCCTTCATATTGCTTTTTGAATCCATAAGAGATTAAACGAATGCTTCGTACAAGGCCTTTGATGTAACCAACTGGATCCCGTTAAATAAATTATGTTTAACCCCCCTTGGCGAGTTTCGGTTGTTGTGGGCATTAGAATTCGGCTGAAAAGTTCATTAATAAAGAATGTATGACAGTTGAGTGAAGGGTTAACTTCATTGATGTGTTATCAGTTACATAGCCAATTTCAGGTTGTTTGTGATATGTTCGTGCACTAAGGTAAGATTACGTAGCTCTGACTTCAATAATGAACGAGACTACTTCCATCGTTTTTCTTTATCCCCCTCTATCTGATGTAAAAAGTCTGGATTCTTAACTGAATCTTTATTGATGATAACCCCAGTAGAATTAAAAATACATGTTACTACGTTATATATTGATTATAATGATCAGTATTTATAAATTGAGTAATTGTTACTTAATACAGTAAAAATAAATTTGAAGTTCATAAAGTAATGTGTTGAAATTTTACCTTCTACTCACCTTAAATCGATATTGATTTCCTTCTCCATAAGTTGTAGTGCTTGGTGCAGTTCGTTTCAAGTATATGATTTCGCGAATAATCTTGATAGTATAGACTTCCTGAAGTTGTGTGACTCAGTTATCTGATAGGGTATGTACTCAAGGTTTGGATTTACTTATTTAGCTCATTTGAGATTTTTGATTTGTATATGCAGAAATCACTATTCACTAACTTGTACATTTTACTCGTTTGCTTTTCCCTCAAGTCTTTTCAGCAACTCCCCATCGAATCTCTTTCGAATGCTGTCCAGGAGTACGCTGTTGTTAGTGATCTACTACAGTGTTTGCAAGTAAATTTCATTTTAATCTATTTGTTTTATATAAAAATAAATAATAGGTGTATTCATTCCAGATTATACTGCTCCTTTATTTATTTTTTGTCACAATTAAATTAAGAATTACTCCTAAATTTTCTTAAACATTTCAGGGTAACCAAGGAGTTTACATCAAACCTCTGCCTTTATCGAATCGTTACGCAGTCCGATGTTTTAAAGTGGATGAAAAAATGAGTACGTCTGTTTTACGTTCACATGTTCATCCCATGAAAATAGCTATAGCTAGTGATATTCACTTATTCTAATCGAAAGATTCTATCAGTATTTTTCATCGCTAATGTGACTAATGCTCAGCTCTCTGATCAGTAGAACACTTAACTAATATCTGGGTGTACCATGTTTAATTATATTCAAATGTCTAAGTTATTACGTTTCTGTTGTATGGATAAAAGTTCATGTCAGTGTTTACGGCTTGTAAATATTGCAAAAGTCTTTCTGAAAGTCAAGTAAGATGCTTGCTGATGGTCAAGAATTTGACATAGTTCTGATCACCTCGTACTCGTAAAATTGTTTCGTTTGTTTCTAATTAGTGTGGGTGAGCTGTCTCTGGAAATATGTGGTATGCTTATTACTCCTTCTAGGAGTACATTGTGTTAGGATCTATCACTTTATCAAGTGAAGTGGCTTCTTCAGATCGAAAAATGAATCTAGTGCACATTACGATTGTGCATGGTCATTTCAGAGTCCGAAGGAATTTGTAATTAGAATACACAGAAACTCACTCAAAACTCCATGGCATTGTTCGAAAGGTCAAGGAATTTCTACTGCCGACCTTCCCAGAACATAGGTCATCCATCCAAGTCTATGGACAAGAGTTTAAAATAACTGAATACTTCATTATAAAAAAACACTTCAAGTAATATATCAAGTCGCTACTTTCTATCAAGAAAGAGTTTTGATCTTGTTTGCCAGAGAATAATTCAATTTTCCAGTTTCTGCTAAATATTGGCTATATCTTCGTATAGGTTGCATAGGTTGTGCCGAATATGAATTTCCTTGGAGACTCTTTAGACCACGGTCGGTTAGTATAGACCCTCTTGTTTAGGTTTTAAACTTTATTTTTTGGATAGCACCAACATTATATAGATATATATAACTCCGACTGTAACACTTCTAGAGTTACTGCTGGTCCCAAGCTCAGGTAAAAGAGGAGAGTAGAAAAAATCTTGCTAGAAAACAACCGGATTAAACAAACCAAGCCACTTAAACTCTACTCTGGGCGTCGAAGTAATAATTATGGCGCCTCAGGATGAAAGCCGAGATGCTTCTGAAGTCACGAGGTCGATGCCTCTTCTAACAAACAGAGCAACAATTTTACAGGTACATGGAACGTCCAGACAATATGGGAGACCGTGAGGACCAGTCAAATAACAACGGAAATAAGGAGAAACCCATTGAACCCAAGCTGGACAGCAAAGAGTAGATACAGGAGAGATGCTGCTGTACTCCGGTCACGAAAGTGGAAAATGCTCCACACACTCAGGGAGTTGCTCTAATGCTGTCCAGAGAAACACAAAATGCACTTGTAGGATGGGAATCTCACGGATCCAGAATTGTCAAAGCATCGTGCAAAACAAAGAAGGAGGGGATCACAATGAATGTTATCCAATGTTATGCACCCACCAATGATGGTAACGACGACAATGAAGATCAGTTCTATGAGAGGCTGTAATCAATCATATCGAAGTGCTCAGGAAAGAAACTGACCATCCTGATGGGAGACCTAAACACCATGGAGGACAACTGACAGATGCATTCCAAGTAAGAACCGGAGTCAGACAAGGCTGTCTACTCTCCCCCTTCCTCTTTCTTCTGGTGGTTGGCTGGATTATGAAAACCCGCTAGCACGGAATACAATGGACAGCTCGGAATCAATTAGACGATTTGGACTTCTCGTTTGACCTAGCCCTTCTATCCCATACACACGATCAAATGCAGATGAAGGCAACTAGTGTAGCAGCAGCCTCTGCATCAGTAGGCCTGAACATACACAAAGGAAAAAGCAAGATATTCAAATACAATACGGAAAACACCAACCCAATCACACTTGATGGAGAAGCTCTGGAAGATGTGGGATCTTTCACGTACCTGGTGAGCATCATCGATGGGCCAGGAGGATCTGATGTAGAAGTAAAGGCGAGGTTCCGCAAAACAAGAGCCGCATTCCCACAACTGAAGAATATATGGGACTTAAAACAACTGTCAACTAATATCGAAGTCAGAATCTTCAATATGAATGTCAAGACAGTCTTACTGTACGGACCTGATACGTGGAGAACTACTACAACCATCATCAAGAAGGTAGAAGTATTTATAAATAGTTGTCTACGCAAGATACTCAACATCCACTGACTGGATACTGTTATATTTTCGCTCTTACGGTTATAACCCAGCTATTCCTATCGCTTAGTATTCACGGTCACAGATTCACACGACAAGGCCCCAAATCAGAACACGATTGAGCAGGAAGGAGATTATATTCCAAATAACAAGGTTAGGTGGAAGCAAGAAGCAAGAAGCAAAATAGGAAAACCGTTAGTATATTTATAGCTTTTTACATAAGAAGAATCTAGAAGCTTCTCCATGTATAGACTGGCGCTGATTGGATAAGAATCAGCCAATCAGCGTGCGCCAAAGCAATCGTGCATTGAGCATGCTTTAATCCAATCTATGTCCCACTAACACCTCCCCTTTGAGCAGATTCGTAGGATCTGGTGCTAGGGTCCAACTGCAACCGAGTGACTGGCCTGTGCTTTCGATTTGTCCATCGTCTAGGCAATAAAGAAGTATCACTCTTTGCTTGCACAGAAACTGACCTGTCTGTTCCAGGCGTTTTGATTTCAAAGGTGTCTAGTAGAACATCAAGAGGTAATCGATATTGAATCTCGTTGCTGGCTATCGAAGTTGCTTTCAATTGGTTAGCATGACGTACCCAAACTTCTGAGCCAACTGACACCTCATAAATCACACTCCCCTTCTTTTTTAAGATCCGACCAGCTGTCCATGTAGGATGTTTCTCACGATAGTCCATAGCAAGTACTTTTTGTCCCACCGTGAACAATCGTTTTTGTGCCCCATGATGTCGATTGAACTGATTCTCCATAGATAGGTTTCGTTGAGGCTCAAGAGCTGGCGTAGGACGGATGACATCGAAATGTGTTCGTATTTTTCTGCCAAGTAGAGCTTCTGCTGGAGAGACCCCCTTAATCGTCTGAGGGTTCGGTGTCGAGCGATAAATAAGCAGGAACCTCTCTAAGATCTCTTCGGTGGTCCCCTCCCCTTTAGGTTTTTTTTAGAGCATTTTTAAATGTACTCACAAAGCGTTCCACTTGACCATTTGATTGGGGATGGAATGGAGGTGTTCGGACGTGATGGATTCCGTTCTGCCGACAAAATTGTGAGAAAATTACGGACGTAAACTGTGTTCCGTTGTCACTAACTATCAATTCCGGGACTCCGAAACGACTGAATAGTTGACGTAGCTTACTGACTGTGCAGCTTGCAGTCGGGTGTTCCATGAGAAAGATTTCTGGCCACTTGCTATATGCATCAACTACCAAAAGGTAAGTTTGTCCATGAAGTGGACCAGCAAAGTCCAAGTGTATACGCTGCCACGGTGACTGTGGTATTGGCCATGATTGCAGCTCTGCTTTCCGCGGTGCTTTCGTTGCTAATGCACATTTGGTACATGAACGGGATAGCTGCTCCAGTTGAGTGTCTAAATGCGGCCAGTATACATAACTTCGTGCTAATGCTTTCATGCGATTTATTCCAGGATGTCCTGCGTGCAACTGTTCAAGCACTGCTGGTTGTAGCTTCTTTGGGATTATGACACGTTCTGCAAACAGCAGGCAGTCGTCGATGATTGAGAGAGAGAGTCTACGCTGGTAAAACTGTTGAAGCTCTGTGGAACTGATCTTCGCGGGCCATCCTTCCAGGTGGAACTTTCTAACTTCTTGTAGAATCGGGTCTCGAAGAGTTTCTTCTCTGACTTCATCTGACGACACTGGAGTGTTTCGAATGGCATCTGCCACTATACTTCGTATTTCTGGGTCTACTGCTATGGAGGCAATGATTATATCCTCTGGTCCAGGATGCTGAACTCCAATTAATCGAGAGAGAGCGTTGGCTTGACCGATAGTATTTGTCGACTGATACTTGATATTGAAATCATAAGTCAGGAGCATTGTTGCCCAGCGCTGTAGTCTATTAGCCGTATAGACAGGGATTCCTTTCTTAGAACCAAAGATTGCAATCAAAGGTTTGTGATCTGTCAGTAGAGTAAATGTACGACCATAGAGCATTTTATGAAATCTTTTGACAGCGAAAATGATCGCAAGAGCTTCCTTTTCAATTTGACTGTAGTTCCGCTCGGCCGGGGTAAGTGATCTAGCAGCATGGGCAATTGTCTTTTCTGATTTGTCCGGAAACACGTGAGATATCACTGCTCCAACTCCATGACTAGATGCATCAGATGCAACAACAATTTCCAAGCTGGGATCGAAGTGTGTCAAAAGAATCTTTGAGCTGAGCATTGATTTGACTCTGTCGAAAGATGCTTGACATTCTGCTGACCACTGCCAAGGTTTATCTTTTGATAGTAATTCATTCAGCGGACCTCTCACTCGATGCATTTCAGGCAAGAATGTGCTATAGTGACTGATTAACCCCAAGAAGGATCTTAATGAAGAGACATCAGTTGGTGCAGGCATCTTCTGAATGGCTTCGATGTTGGTAGGGTCTGGTCGGCGACCGTTCTTATCTAAGATAAAACCAAAGTATTTGATGGAATGCATAAAGAAAGTACACTTTTCCTCACGTAGTTGGAAACCATATTCCAACACTCGGTTAAGGACTTGATGTAGTCGATCAGAAAGTTCATTGTCAGTTGAACCCATAACTATGATATCATCTAGATAAGCTGCTGTACCAGGTATACCTGTTAGCATCGTATCCATTATTTGCTGAAAGATGGCAGGTGCAGTCTTGATGCCAAATGGTAGACGGGTGTATTGAAATAACCCTCGATGAGTGTTAATGGTCAAAAGCTCTCTACTGTCTTCATCTACTTCTACTTGCAGATAGGCATCGGAAAAGTCTATTTTCGCGAAACATGTCCCACCATTAAGTTTGGCAAACAGGTCTTCAGGAACTGGTAATGGATATTGATACACATCTAATGCAGCATTTAAACCGGTCGAGAAATCGGCACATATGCGTATAGTTCCATTCGCCTTCTTAATCACTACGATCGGTGCGGCCCATGCAGAGTAGTTGACTGGTTGAATTACACCAGCCTGTTGCAAGCGATTAAGTTCCTGATCGACTAACTCAAGAGCAGCATATGGTACAGGACGTCTAGGACGAAAAATGGGTTTGGCATCTGATTTCAGTGGTAAATGAGCTTTCATCTTGGTACAGTGGCCAAGGCTATTCTGAAAAACAGAGGCAAACTTTCTTTTCAGTTTTTCTAGTAACCTTTCACCTGTCTTCTTTGCAAGTACTGGGGTGTCTAATGATGAACACAATACGTTGCAAACACTGTTAATCGGTACATCCATTATTCCAAGTATATTTAACATATCTAGACCAAGAAGATCAAGGTTTGGCCGTTCTGTTAGGTAAGATATTCCTGTACAGTTAGTTCCATTGAAGGAAAATTCACACTGTAATTCACCAACCAGTTTTAGCACACCACCTGATGCGTTTTTGGCCGTTTTCTTAGATGGCTTCATTGGCGGTTTACCCAGCAAGTTATACGTTTCTCTAGATACTAAGGTGATATCTGATGCCGTGTCAATTTGAAGACGAGCCGATATGCCGTTTATCTGGATGGTAACATACTTTCTCCGAATGTCATAGTTTGTTTGAAAGGCAGCTACCAGAGAAAGAGATTTAAACTCGGCTGATTTCACATGTCGAGAACGTTTATGCTTCTTTTTGGGATGAGACGTACGATTCGGTGGACAATGACCTTCTTTATGTCCACGTTTGCTGCACACCTGACATATATGCTTTTTAAATGGACAGAATCGTACATAATGCCAATCACCACATAACCAGCATGCAGTCGTTGGTTTATTACGAGTTGTTATCGGCTTCTTAACTTTTAACCTAGTAATAGCATTGACACTACTGCAGGTTAAATTAGGATTTACCTGTTCAATCAACTTGTTGTCGTGTCTGATGCTTTGTAGCCGCTTACACTCATCTGTTAACGTTCTGAGTGTGACGTTTGGGTCTTGATCTAGTCGAGCCAAAAGTCTAGTCCTGATCTCAGCATGTTGTGGTGACTGAAGAGCTTTGATGAATATTAGGCATTTAAATTGGTCTTCTGTCAACGAGCGTAACTTGAACCGTTCACATTCTCTGTTGACGATGTCTGCTAAAACACCATATTCATCGGCTTCGCGTTTCACCAAATTTAGACACTGATGTCGAATACTAAACAATGAGGAGGATTCACCGAATATCTCTGACAATTGAGTTATCGTCTCCTCGAAACTGAGCTCTCGAGGTAACTTAGGCAATATATGGTCAGCATAGCGTGCATGTTCATTAATTCCTAACTTACGTACCAACAGTCGAGTCTTCCACGCGTCGTCTTGGTTACAGAATTCTATTCTAAATGTATCTTCCCAACGTTTGAACCACGTGAGAAAAGTATTTCCGCTTTCGGGATCATAGATGAATTCTGGTATGCTGCTAGCAACTGCATCACAAGACGTACTTGAAATGGCATGTGAACTCGAGCGGTGGAAGCTAAGCTGTTGAGTCAGAGTCTCTAACAACCGCATTTGTGCATCTAATTGTTGTTGCTGTTGTTGTAGTATTCGGTTAAGCTGGTCGTCTGATATGGACATATTGAATTTATTTTCCTTTTTCCCCGTCGCCACTGTTATATTTTCGCTCTTACGGTTATAACCCAGCTATTCCTATCGCTTAGTATTCACGGTCACAGATTCACACGACAAGGCCCCAAATCAGAACACGATTGAGCAGGAAGGAGATTATATTCCAAATAACAAGGTTAGGTGGAAGCAAGAAGCAAAATAGGAAAACCGTTAGTATATTTATAGCTTTTTACATAAGAAGAATCTAGAAGCTTCTCCATGTATAGACTGGCGCTGATTGGATAAGAATCAGCCAATCAGCGTGCGCCAAAGCAATCGTGCATTGAGCATGCTTTAATCCAATCTATGTCCCACTAACAGATACCATCAGCAAGTCTCCGGCTAGTGCTACAATATCTGTCGAACGCTTTTTCTGGAGAAGAAAAGTTAACTGGTGGTACAATTCATCCTTGATTGCATCCGGGCTGCAATCTGTCGGGGCATAGGCAGAGACGACGAAAAGACATCGTTTCTCACGCCGATTTCTTCTCACTTTGGTGGAACTTTCTTATCTAACAGCACATAACCGACTGTTAATGGAGATCCAATCGATTAGTGCTGCCTCAGCTCTAGCGCTTAGTGCGACACCAACGCCAGCAAAACCAGACGAAGATGCCACAGGGTCCCCGGATAAACGCACATAAAACAAGCTTTTTGAAGCGACAGATGGAGAGCAAATTTGCAGTACTTCACCAGATTCTTGAATACGGGTCTCGGATAGAGAACAAACGTCGATATTAAGACTTTCCAAAGACATAGCCAGCCCTATATGTTGTCCGACCTGCATAAGTGTGCAGATGTTGAAAGCAGCCAGTTTGAATGGTGCACGTAGTTTCAGAATTCGTATTCGGTTGTAGCATACAATTTTCAACCAGGCAGTGACTTGAGAACGTTTAGATAGAACCGAACTTCCACCATAGGCGAGCTGCTGTATAAGTCGAAAAATAAGGATACATAAAGTGGGAATAAAAGATAGTGAATAAATGTCGTGGTAAATAATAGTAATATTGTGAATCGTTTGATTGTTAATTGAAGCAAGAAAAGTATTTTCCATAAATATCAACATTTCATCATGTTTGTGTATGGGCTGTGATACTGCCCGGGTGCCCAGACCGAAGCAGGTGGTTTGCTTAGGGGGCCACACCCCGAGCCTTTGACCTAAAGGTCTGACCCACAAGGCAGTGGAGCGTTGTGAGGAGATGCAGTTCCATGGTAGCTTGTGACCAACAATTGGTTCATACGCCGTTTGTTCCTTCAGGATACTGGAGCCCATGTACACCATTGGTTTGGGATCCGGTTAAAGCGCCATACGTTCGCTTTACGTTCTCTCATTTTCGTAGACAACACCCCCTCCACAAGCAGGCAGTGAGTAGGACTTCCCTGGCAGAGGCTGTATACGTGTGGCCGTGTGAGAGCATTTCGAGGGGGAGGGTGGGCCCTCCCCACTCAGCCATACCAGGGCATTTCATATTTGTCGTGAAACATTCACTACCCTTTGTGAGACTGTCGATTTTAATTGCATGAGGACAACTGAGCTAATGTATTTAAATGAATTATTCCCTAAAGTTTTCATTTAATACACTACCAAAAATCATAAGCGAAGTACCTAGAACTAAGTTTATTACAAGAAAATTAGGTGTATTGCTGAGCTCCGGCTATCAAACTCATTTTCATATCCATTTTCTGTAGTCACAATCTTAAGACCATACCTGTAATCATGAGTTTACGTGCTCAAACTAACTTTAACTCGACTAAGGATCTGAGTTGTATAATAATATTTGTACCTTTCTTATTCAAGCGGTTAGTTGTAGCTTTCCACCGCTTCATATATTTACTTTTCAATCCTTCGTTTTAGCTCCCGCTTTATCAGATACTGTAAATAAAATTCTCCCAGTTTGTTCGGACTATTCAACAGTATCTAGATTTATAGGTGGTAAGTTTCTGTTTCATTTCATTGTTGATTTTGTCTTTTCATTCCACATAATCTTGGTCAGTGTTCAACACATTTCTTTTTAAATTGCCTGCTGACAACCCCACTCTTATTTTTTAGTTTTAATCCCTCTCATTTGGGTAGCCATGTGATATAACCGGCTCTCACACAAAAGTGAAGTAAAAAGACAGGTACACAAAGCAGTATTTGGTTAGTGGTTCGCAAGGAACCAAACTATTCAACAATGGGCGAGGAACAGCCTTCCAAGCAGTATAATCTAACTTGAGCTAATACTTATAATAGCACTGGGATATTATTACTCATTGTTTTTGTTTACGAATTATTGTGTCCATAATGTATGGAAATATCTGAGAATCATATTTTTTAGTTTATAATCAGTTTTATTTAAATATGTTTTTGTTTGCCAAAGAGAAGTCCACATTTGAATATGGAACGGTCAACCAGGCACTAGCAGGTGCAATGCGCGGTTTACTTAAGGATTATCTTATTCTGTTATGTCAACTTGAATACCAGTATAAAATTGGCCAATTGGGAATAGTTAAACTCCACTTTTTTTTGCAAGTAAGCGATTTTGTAATTAAAATTTGAATGACTTTCAAAAGACATTTACACAGCGTAAGAAAACGACGATCAGTCTAGAATTCTAAGAGATAATGATATCGAATCCAAAACTTGGAAATAGGCTAGTTAGGGGTGTGGTGACAGTCCAAAAGGTCCATACACAGGCCTGTTTGTGAAATAGTTACCACTTCTGGTACGACTGGTTCTTGCTGTATCTCTTGCAGCCACTTCATATATATATATATATATATATATATATATATATATATATATTCCCTTCAAAGTTGTCAACATATCGAATTTACTTTACCAACTAAAAATTCAATAAACGTAAGATTCGAAATACGCCTTTTATTCTAGATTTCTATCATTGAAGTCCCAGTTTGAACTGTTAATTTTTTAGTTGGGCAACATTTTAGTATCATTATTTTTCATACCATTGTATGTAAAGCGAAGACGTAACCTCAGAGTATTGTGACAAACCAACACATGATAATTCAATACTAATCTCTTTCATCTTGTTGCATCACTTCATAAACAGACCACCTCCCTACTTTTGCAACTCACTATCAACTATTGTTGCTCCTGTATGGTTGTCATCGGGATAACATGCATAATATGTTCAAGTTGTGTGACCCAATATTTCAAAATATCGTATGTTGAATAATAATTCCCATTCTGCCCAGTGACATGTTACTGAACCCCAGGAGTAACTACATAGTTTTGTCAGTCAGTATGAGTGTTCTTCGTGAGTTAAGGATGGTTGAACTGATTACATGGTCTTATTTTACTTGCTGTATTTTTGTGAAGGACTTTAATAGTGTTCATAAACTTACGTATTCACCTCTAACAAACGGTTCCAGAGAACAGTTTTACCCAGCTCATACAACCATAAATACAACAATATTCTTCATTGAATATATCTATGATGATAAACCCGAACAAAAATCTATCCATTCTTTGTGAAAGTCTCATGAGTTTCTCATAATCGTCAGAGTTCTATGAAAGTCAATATTTCAAGTAAGATTAGAGGGAGAATTCATAATCGCATGCCTTATTTATGCTCTTTGTAAGTATATGTGTCACAATCGCGCACTAAACATTTTAAAGTAGTTTGGATTTTGCGCAACAAAAGAAAGTGCAGTTCAAAAATTGCTTCATAATGACTCAGTAAGAGCAGATGGCAACCACCTATCCTCTTCCATTACCAAATACAATTGACACAGATTACGTGGTTGTTAATAATATTGTATAAAATTTATTTAGTGAGAATACTTGAATTTGTTGGACCGTTAATCGCACGCACGTCCTAATCCTTTTTGTATGTTTAAAAACAATTTATACTGCTGGTAAACCTATCCTGATATTATTGATTTGTTATCCGGAGTTTTGATTTGAACTATTTCTTCCCGATCTTTACTTTTCTTATCTCCCAGTTTGTCTAATGTGAACTTTTCATATATGAATATCTTAATAAGTAAATATGTAATCAGGTTGTTCGGAATATATTCCGGTGATATATATAATATTGATCTTATAAATTTCTCCTCATTACACCATTTAAATTTATCAAATGGGATAGCTATCGGAGGTAGCCGCGATGGTTTGTTACCCAAACAACAAACTAACAGATTAATTTATCTTGAAACACATCATAAAAGTTTATTACTCTCTTAAACACAAGATATACTTGGGTTTGTCGTTGATTTTAAAAATAAATGGGTTACATCTGCAAGGAGTGGTATAGGTTTTTCGATCTGCTGTTGTTCTGTGACAACTCTCTTTTTTTTACGAAAAGTTAAAAAATGTTGGAATATTGAGATGCAAAAAAATCTGGGTTACTTGATGTAAAAATTAGCTAAGCCATGTAAACTATCCATTCAATAAAACTTCACTTTTAATAATATTTTTATTTTTATTTATGAAGGAAACAGCTACCGCTTTTAATCAGTTGACTCGCCTTGTTAATAATATAAACACAGGACAATGTTCTGGTGGTGCAGTGTTATCAGTATTGTATGATTCTTTAAGGTCTGTATATGGTGTTAAACAATTACATGATTTAATGCTTTATCTCCTGTGTTCTGTAAGTTTGAAATTTTTTTAATTTTGATGCTGTTTACACACACATAATGTTTCGCTAGTTTTTCGTTTGTAGTACTTTTATTGATTTCATTACAGCGATTAATCCAACGTATTCTGAAACAGTTTAATACGAAAAACCTATAACTAGAGTTTAACTAGGGTGAAACTGAATTAAAGCATATTATTTCCCCTTTCAGAATGTAAGTGGAAACTGATGAATGTGTTCGGGTTAAGTATGCACTAATTAGTTACTAAGTAGTAAGCGAGGGCAGGTTTAGTTTCTTGAGACTCAGTTAATAAAATATGATCTGTGAAACGGAGTGTACAATATTAAATTGGTTAATACTTAATGCCTGATAAATCCAAATATTACGGTTCTACAAGTGATTGTTTGCGATTTGAATAGCTGCGTAATAACGCCTGTGATAATAAAATTGAATAGTGCATATTCAAACACTATGAGAAGCATCAGTTACATCAAAGTTGCAGATACACTTAGGTGATGAGTGTCACGTAGCACAAAATCTATCTAGGGCTTCCTTCCCATTGCATCCAGGTCATAACACCAAGTAAGAATATCGCTTATGCGCCCAGCCTAATCTTCAAGCCACTATTGGATCTCATTTGTTATTACGACTCTTACGTGCTTTGAATACGTCAGTGCCACCCACTTAGTAACTCAACCAACCACCGTTGGCTGTCATGGTTAGCCAAATAGTCATTTTAAGCATAAAACGATTGAAGACAACTAAATCGTTTAGTAGGTTAATGATTACTACCGTACTTTCTTGAGAGCAATATTATCCTGATAACCAAACAATCTCAGGTATGTTATCCGTAATTTACGTAACCAGTTTATTACATCTAAAAAATGAGTGCATTGTTTCTAGATCTTTCTCACGTCTTAGTGACGTTTTTCTAACATTTATGTTAAAACTCCACGTAACCATCAACGAAACATTTATTAGTTGCAAGTTTCCTGCCTTCATTTGAGGATTATGGTGCGTACACCAGCTATGGTTAAGAAACGCGAATAGACAAAACGGACACTTATCAACTAATACTGATTATTAATATCACTGTTTGTTATAATAGTCAATTTCGGCAGATCACTGAATAAAGTCGGCCGATAAGTGTAAAAGTACTTTAGTTTTGTTTTTTCATAAGACCTTTATTATGTATGAGCTAAAAATGTATGATACGCGAAAGCAATGAGAGTATGATACGTAAAATATCAAAGATAATTAATATCAGGATATATACACTTTTTCATAAGTGAATTCAAGTTCAAAATTTTCAGATGGTATGTAGTTAAACCAGTTCAATACTGACCGATTGAGGTGTTAGTCAGTTTTTAGATTGATCTCTTTTTGTATTAGGAGTAAATCTCCAATATCCTTTTCTTATTAAATCACACGTCAATTTTATTTCACATTACTTTACTACTGGAAGTTTCTTGCTATGTTTGTACCACGAATTTTATCTGGGTAATATATCAATGCATTCGTTGTTACAATTAAACGTATTATTCCTATTTCGCATTTTGTTGCATGTTTTCCATCTTATATGCTCCAGCTTTCCTAAATTATTTTCCTGTGATTTGTTTTATATCAGGCTACTGTACCTTTTTTTAAAATTCTTCAAAAATGGATATATCGGGGTGTAATTTCTGACCCATATAAAGAGGTTAGTCAGTCAGTCAATAATCCATTGTCAAGAATATGTCAAATCATATTTAAAAACTTTTTCCAGCATAAAAATAGTATCTTAAGGTTTTGAACAATTTTTGGTTTACCATTTACACTTTGCCAATATCTTTGAACTCAGAGTACATTTTATTCGATATTTTCTTCCCAATTTGTACTCACTAATTCATGTTCTCTCACATCAACTGATAACTCACGAGTAGCCCTGTGTAATTTGTCTTTTGTGTACAGCAAATTACTCCCAGGCTCAGTACGATAAGCAAACAACTTTTGCACTGTCGGGTGAATAAAATAGCAGTCTTGTTCAGAAGAACAATGAGAATGAAAGAGGACTACTGCATATAAATATATTTGAGATGTTCTTGAAGGTAGGCCAAGAATACGCTGACAGAGTAAATATTGTGGTTCGAGTTTTCATGATGTAATAAATATGCTCATCCAATTGAACAATTAAGAACAAGATGTGAACGACAGATTGTATTAACACATGCTTACAAACTGAAAATTAAGGTCACGCAAAAATTGATACCGAATAATATAAATTCATATTCCGTGGTTTCTAATCAGCTGCTTACAATCACATGTTTATTGGAAGCTTACTTTGAGGCTAAATATAATGTGAAACAATTGACAGAGAAACGAAAAGAATTAGAATGACAAAGGCTATCAATAATATATATATATATATATATATATATATATATATATATATATATATATATAAGATTGTGTGATCATTTTAGAGGTTATGAAGAGTTTTCATAGAATTATTGAAATCATATTGATAAGATGGGTTACGTATCAATTGAACAGTATTTGAGACAGATAGAGACGATTACATGAGCAAAGTAATATCCATTTTAAATGACTCCACGAGATTTATCATCGACTCAGAAAGGCGTGCCATATGCAGATCATGGTGTAGCTTTTTTCTCGGAGCTGGATAGTTTGGTAGTGGATCTTTCATCATTATTCTGAACGACATCACTAACACAAACTTCAAGTGGAAGTGATGTGTTCGGATTTCTTCATGTGTGACTCATTCATTATTCTCATGTCTGTCCCCATTTCTCAGCGTAATGTGTTATTTGGTCTTTCTCTTTTCCTTCGGCCTTGAGGATTCCAAGTGGGGGCTTGTCTTGTGACTTAGTTAGTGCTTTCCTCAATATGTATCCTATCCACCTCCAGCGCTTCTTCCTGATTTCTTCCTCCACTGGGATCTGGTTTGTCCTCTCTCATAGTAGGTTGTTGCTGATAGTGTCTGGCGGACGGATCCAAAGTATTTTGCGTAGAACACTGTTAATAAACACTTTTATCTTCTGGATGATGACTTTCGTAGTTCTCCAGGTTTCGACCCCATACAGTAGAACTGTTTTGACATTTGTATTGAAAATTCTGACCTTGATGTTGGTTGACAATTATTTTGGGTTCCAGATGTTCTTCAGTTGTAAATGTGCTGCTCTTGCTTTGCCCATCCGCGCCTTCACATCTGCATCAGATCCATTGTGTTCATCAATGATGTTGCCCAAATATTCAAAGATTTTTACATCTTCCAAATCTTCTCCGTCAAGTGCCGTTCGATTGGTGCATGCTGTGTTGTATCGGAGAATCCTGCTTTTCCCTTCGAACGAGTCCGTCAGCTGTCCTGGTCCTACGTTGTAGCTGACTGACTGACTGAGTCCGTCAGCTGTTCTCCATGCACGATTTCGCAGTTTAATCCATCATAGAAATTCCGTATAATATTGACTATCTTCCCAGGCAAGCCGTAGTGTCGAAGAAGCCTCCATAGTGTTGTCCTGTCCACGCTATCAAATGCTTTCTCATAGTCAATAAAGTTGGTGTAGAGTAATGAATCTCATTCAATTGGTTGTTCCACAATGATCCGTAGAGTTGCGATTTGGTCTGTACATGATCGATCCTTACGGAATCCAGCCTGTTGGGCGTCTACTGAGTCTTTCATTCGGTTCAGCAACACTGCGTTGAAAACTTTGCTTGGTGCTGACAGTAGTGTGATGCCTCTGTAGGTATAAAATTTGTTGAGATCGCCTTTCTTTGGTATCTTGATCAGGTGTCCTTCTTTCCAGTCTGTTGGTACTTGTTTTTCGACCCAAATCTTGCTGAAGAGAATGTGGACTATCATTGCAGTTAATGCTACATCTGCTTTCAGTGCCTCTACTGGAATGTTTTCTGGTCCTGCTGCTTTGCCGCTCTTGATTTTTCTGATGGCCATGCTGATCTCTCCAACTGTTGGTAGGTAAACATCAATTGGGAGGTCCGTGGGTGCTGCTTCGATGTTGGGTGGGTTCAGTGGGGTCGGTTGATTTAAGAGTTATTTGAAGTGTTCTGCCCACCTGTTTCGCTGTTCTTCAATGTTGGTGATTACTTTGCGTTCCTTGCTTTTCACTGGTAGTTCTGGTTTACGATAATTTCCAGCGAGTTTCTTTGTTGTATCATACAATTGTCACATGTTTCCTTCTCTTGGAGCCTTTTCCACCGTCATTGCTAGATCTTCCACATATTTACGTTTGTTGACTCTGATGCTCCCCTTTACTTGCTTGTTTACTTCTGTGTATTCAGCTTTTTTCTTGGCTTTCTCCTCTCTTGTTCGGTTCGTATTGATTGCTGCCTCCTTCTTCCTTGAGTCATATCCAGTGTATCACCAGTGATCCATTCCTTGTAGCGGTGCTTCTTGTGACCCAGAACCTCATGACATGTTGAAGTAATTACCTCTTTGATCTCTTTCCAGTTGCACTCCATAGTATTTGCCTCTCCATTGAGTAGACCATGAAAGGACTAGAACTTATTGCTGAGGGTTGTCTTGAATTTGTTGAGTTTGTCAGCATCCCGAAGAAAAGCGGTTTTAAACTCTTGTGATGTTGTCCGCTCCATTGTCCACTGCTTCTTAAGTTTTCATTGCATCTTGGCGACCAGCAAGTGATGATCTGATGCTATATCAGCCCCATCATCCTCCTGAACTTTTTGTTGATGCAGATATGATCGATTTGGTTCTGCATAGTTTGATCCGTTGATGTCCATGTGGTTTTGTGTATGCGTTCATGTGAGAATATAGTGCCGCCTATGACCGGTTTATTCAGAAAACATAGATTAGCAAATCTTTCGTCAATTTTGTTCTTTTCTCCTAGACTATGCCGTCCCAGGATATCTTCATATCCGGTGTTCTTCATTCCGACTTTGGTGTTGAAAACTCTCATCAGAATGGTCAAGTCCTTTGTTGAACACTTCTCGACGATTGACTGCAGCCTATCATAGAATTGATCTTCATTGTAATCGTTGATAGACGCATAGCATTAGATGACATTCTTTGTAATGCTTTCTTTCTATGGTTTGAAGGCGGCTTTGATGATCCTGGGTCCGTGAGATTCCCATCCTATGAGTGCATTTTGTGCTTGTCTTGATAGCATCAGTGCAACTCTTTGTGTATGTGGGGCATTTTCTTCTTCATGGTCAGAGTACAACAGAAGCTCCCCTGAAGCTAGTCTTTGTTGTCCAATGTGTTTCAATGAATTCGAGCACCTACAGTTCGTATCTCCTCATTTCTGCAGCAATTTGGAAGACTCTCCCGGTCTCCCGAAATGTACGAGCATTCCATGTACCTAAATAAATGGTTTCTCTGGTTGTCAGAAGGGGCATCAGCCTCGTACCTTCCGAAGGAACTTGGCTTTCACCATGAGGCATCATAGCTCTTCTAAATGGAGACCTTTTGACCCCCAGGGTAGAGTTTAAATGATTTGAATAATTCTTTCTGGTTAGCGTTTTTTTAGCGGGTTAGTTTTCTACGGGATGGGGTTGTTAACTCCATGCCCAGTCCTCCTCCTTTATCCGGGCTTGGGGCCGGTATTAGTCCCATAGGGGCTCCGGGCGAAGTTCACCTAGTTATGATGAATAACTGTTCATTGCTTCCCAGTCTTATATAGGACCAACAATTTCGTGTAATTGTTTTAACGAATTTGCTAGTCAAACATTAATTTAATTTTGTGGATTTACAGTTTTTCATTTCAGCTGGATCTATGCCGAATTTCTATGATCCTGATAAAGCATCTCCAAGTAATCATTCAGCTTCATTCCAGTTCGACCGTTTCACACAGAATTATGTGGACTGGGCATTCTTTTGGGAGTGTCATTATTCTCTTGTACCAATAAATTTACCTAGTTTTCTTGAACCTAGTGCTTCGAAAATTCTTAGTACGGGCAAGTATTTGAATGTTGTACAGCAATGCGGTGAGTTTTTTTAAAGTGGCGTTTCGTGTATATAACAAATTTCCTTATTTATAAATGTAGTAACTCTCGTAGGGGAGTCTCTCATAAGTTATAAGGAAGAAAAACGTGACTGATGTCTGAAGTTTCCATTTTTTAAATAATAGTACTCCTAATTCTGTCTTTTAATTTAGCATATTTCATCTCATATTTTTGGATCAGTTAACAACGATGGTTCGAAGGTAAAATTTGTGTATGTGTCACTGAGATTTTCGGTCGTATGTTAAAACTTATGGTTACTACGTGCTGATGATAGCCAACGAAGACAAAATTCAGATTTATTGCGTCTTAGTTAGTCTGTCATATGGGATATACTGGCGCTTCTTAAATCTACTGTAGATTTGTAGTCAGATTTCAGCGTTACAATTTTTCATGAATGGAATCCGATTATCGTTGAAGATCACTGTGTTTTTTGGTTAGCATTCAGTGATTTAGTGGTAGATAGCTATGAATCAGGAAGTCCTCTAAATAATATTATCTTCAGTTGAGCACAAAAAATACTTGCTTTTTTAACTAGTATCAGTTTTTATATGCACACAAACTTCTAGGCTGGAAATTCAGAGAGCAGGCAGTCGTAATACATCTTGTATTGTATGAATGTATGTGGAGAAAATACCTGTTTAATGCATATCTTGCATATCAGTCAGCTACAACGTAGGACCGAGTACATATGTGCATCGGTTCAAGTTGCCATACCTCATTAGCACAACAAGATGAACACCGAATTCATAGAAGTAGTTAATTCAGCGGTGGCATTTCCGAGAAACACAAACGTGGTACATCGCCAATTCAACTTTGTAAGTTTGCATTGTGAATGAGTTAAGTACCAGTGTAGTTACAGTCTCTCCACTCTTATATAAATTACGAATACATCACTACATAGCGAAAAATCATCTTAAAAACTTTAGTGTCCTATGGACGTTTTTCCAACTGCACAAATATTAAAATACATTTTCCTGTTTTAACTACTCATTTGCGCATGATAATCGCCTAATGTGATTCACACGCTTTTTCAAGAAGCTAACAACTTGTTATGAAGCTAAATGTTACAAAATTCACGAGGGATCATCACAGTAATCCATATTTCGTTCTTGCCTGTTCTTTCAGAGAAACAGAAGGCGATTACATTAGATTTCATATATCAAATGTATTATCAAATAAGTTTCATAGATGCTACGTAAATTGGTTGTAGATTATTATTAGGGAAAATAAACAATATCTTATTACTGTGGGTAAAACGTTTTTATGCTTGTTTCAATATTGCTCATTTTTTGTTTAGAGTTCTTTATTTTAATCAAACATAAAATTGAATAAAATAATTGTTATTTCAAATCACCTAACCGTTGGCTATTCATGGATTTACAAATAACCTACAGTCTAATATTTCCAGCCATATATTGGTCCACACAAAACTGATATTTAATCAGTTAATTGAATGTCAAAATGCTCTCTGTTGGATCTTGATTTGAGGGTTCAACAATAACTTTGCTTGTGGTAGATTTGGAAGTCACACATCGCGTTTCGTTTACAGTTAAGGTGTATGTGCTACTGAATGATCTAATAATATGATGAATAAAAATGCCCTTATTTGGAGAAATGCTTCAACAGAATCTATCCTGGAATCTAAAATTGTTTATAAAAAGTATTATAAATATATTGAACAAAACGCAGTCTATTGCTTCCAGGTTTCCAGTGTTGGTCTAATACTGATCGGTTTATGATTTAAACAAATAAATGAATTCAAACAGGATAATAGGAATGACGAACTGCTTTCCGAGTTACCAGATCCTCCGTGACATGTATTTATACGAAAATTGTTTTTCAGTACTGTCACAGAGGAGAGGATGAATTGGGTGTATTTCTTTTGACATCAGATAGTTCACTACTATTAACCACTATGTTAACTACATATTACAACCAAAGTTGTAATATGTAATTGTTTTCTCTTTCTTGTTATGACTTGTTGTCGATTACTCAAAATTTTAACTTATTATTTCTTAGCCGATCGTTATGAACTTCCTACGTGTGAAGAACTTGTTTATAATAAAGAGCATTCAGTGTTTCTTGATAAAATTGACCAAGCTCATTTGTACGCAAGCAGTTTATTATTGAAATTGATGCTGCAACAAAAGGATTTAAAAGAACACCTAAAGTAATTCTATGATATTTACATTTAATAACTTATGTCATAATAATTTTCTCCAGAAAAACTAGCATATGTTTAAACTAAGATGATTACAAAAATACGTGTACTTTACATTATAATCGGTCAATACATTTCGTAGTTCAGTTTGCTGGTTTCAGTGAATTGAAATGTTTAAGTATACTGCCTCATTGCGATTAGTGGTACCTGTCTTCACTTCCAGCTAGACTCCATTCAAAGGATTCATATTGTGAATAAGAATCCTAGAGATTCGTTTTTGAGGTCATTTTGTTTGAAATGGTGAGTTTTATGTACACTGATGACTTCTGAGACTCTCATTTAGAAACGAATGTTCTTTCAAGGATAAATTTGTTCTCAAGCTTATGTTTTAGGAAATAGACTAATGAAGTGAAGAAGTATTTCCCTCCAATTTCCCACCATAACTCTATAGTAAAATATTTATTTTCCTATAACAGTAAAACCAATGCCGAAATAGCTATGAAAATGGCGATTAATGATTTCGGAAGTAAAAATAGGCAATCGAATGAATAGGGCAATTATAACTTTCAAAGGCACTTTGTAACTTGCAAGTTCACGCATGTAATTATAAAATGAACAAATTATACAATAGCGGGTAATAGAATTTAAAGAGACTTTTATCAGTTAGAATAATAATAAAAGTTATGTAACGAAATGAAGACGAACATCAGCAATAGTCATGTATAAACAACGGATATCATAATAGCTGAAATTTAGAAATAAAAGAAGAAAGGGAGTTATAATAGAAATAATAATAAAAAGAAATAACAAATTCGTTAATTACATTTTTAGAATATTATTTTTGTTGTTTGTTTCTTTGTTTGAACACATAAATATTGGTACAAGAGGGCACCAAATATATATGCGCCACATAAAACAATGAGAATTTGAAGAGAAGAAAAAAAGAAGGTAAGGAGCGTAAAAAAACAATAACGAACAGATTAGTGTAAGGTAGTGTAATAATAATATTAATAATAATAATGAGGGAAACGGAAACGTATAATCAGAAGAAATCTTTCAGTTAAGGAAGAAGCAACCGCTTTTTACAAAAAAAGTAAAAGAAGGTTACAGCAGGATCGCCACTGGCTTCTATTCTGAGCCATGTCTGATAACGTTTCTAGCCACTGTGTTACACCATCATTCGGATCCCAACCAGGGAGTCGTGAAGGACCAACAGAATCCAGCTCTTTGTAGCTTTCTTTCATACCACGACACCATGTCATATACTGACCACCTCTCCGCTTTTTCCAACCAGTCCCAGAGTTGACAAATAATGCACGACGTGGAATTCTCTGGGACGACGTTCGTAGAACATGTCCAAGCCACCGAAGTCGGTGTTTCAAAATGGTGACACCAATTGGATTGTCGTCTCTCTGCCCGAACACACGATGCCGAACCTCTGCATTACTAACATGGTGTTGCCACTGGATGTCAGCAATCGTTCGGAGACAGCGATGATCGAACACAGAGAGTCGTCTAACATCCTCAACTCGGAGAGGCCAGGTTTCACAAGCGTAGAGCAAAACTGCTCCCACCGACGCGTTGTAGATCCGACCTTTTACAGCCAGACTAACATCACGAAGGCGCCAAAGATGGCCCAGATTGGCATAAGCCGCTCTGGCTTTCACTATGCGTGCATTTATCTCATCACTCACGCCACCACCAGCACTTATGCAGCTACCTAGATGCACGAACTTTTCGACTACTTCTATCTGCTCACCAACCAGGGTGAGTACAGGATTAGAATCCTGCCAGTCTTGTAGAAGTACTTTGCACTTCGAGGGTGCAAAGCACATACCATACCTACGGACATTGATTGCCAACTGATTAAGTGCGGATTGCATGTCTTGGGCATTATCGCACAGTAAGACAATATCATCCGCATACTCAAGGTCGAGAAGTCTTTCTCCAGACAACAGATCCACACCACCATTACTTACATCCGTCAGAGCTGTTTCCAGAATGTCATCGATGGCAAAGTTGAAGAGGAATGGTGAGATTGGGCAACCCTGCCTAACTCCACTGCTTGAATGGAATAGTGGAGAAAGGTGGTCGTATGCCCTCACTCTGCCTGAGGTGTTTGTGTATAGAGCCTTTAAGATGTTAATAAACTTCTCAGGCACACCCTTCTTCAATAGACAATCCCAGAGAACAGTTCTGTCCAACGAATCGAAGACAGCCCTGATATCAAGAAACACTACGATTGTTGGCCTTTGATCAGTATGGCGGTGTTCTAACATTTGGCGGAGGGTGAAGATATGATCATACATCCTCGACCGGAACAAAAACCAGCCTGCTCCTCGCGAGTCAATCTTTCTCGGATTTTGAACAACCTACGAAGTATAACGGAAGCCAATAGCTTGGACGCAATCGGAAGTAGACTTATCCCCCGATAGTTGTTACAGGAACGACGTGAACCCCTTTTAAAGATAGGGACAACTATCGACTCATTCCATGACGTTGGTACACTCTCTAGTTCCCAGACCTTCGTAAACAACGTCGTCAGTCCCTTAGTCAGAAAGTCACCACCATCTTTAAAAAGAGCCAGAGGTAAGTCGTCTGGGCCCGGTGATTCGTAACGTTTCAAGAGTTGGAGTTCCTTGCGGACTTCTGCCTCGTTTGGTGGATCAGCCGTCACCGGCCATGGAGGGCAGGACAGTCTGACCGATGTTGCCGGAGCAGCAGGCCAGTTGAACTGCCCTTCAAAGAATTCTGCCCATCGTCCAAGACGTCGATGGATGTTAGTGATTGGCGTTCCGTCAGCCTCGCAGATTGTTTCGCTCACACCAGACTTCTTGCTGCCAGTGGCTCGGATGAGTTGGAAGAGCTTCCGGTAATTACCAGATGCAGCTGCTGCTTCCAGCTCATTAGCACGCTCCGATCACCAGGCTTCTCGGTCCTTACGCAAACTTTGCCCGATTTCATTACGAAACATCCTTCGTTTGTGGTCAAACTCACGGTCATCCGGGGTAGACCGACGGGCTTCGATGAGTTGTAAAGAACCAGAAGAAGCCCAGTGTTTGTAAGCGGGACGTTTCGCGAACCCACAACTGACTTGACCCGCCATTTTCATGGCGTCATGAATTTGCAACCAATGCTCATCTATGCTTGTTATTTTACTGAATAACGCTTTAAGGATTAGTTGTTACGAATAAACCCTAGTTGCTTTAGAAACTTCCGTAACCGCTCTTAATCAGTCAGTCAGCTGCAACGTAGGACCAGGCACGTATATGCATCGGTCCAAGTTGCCATACCGCATTAGCACAACAAGATGAACACCGGATTCATAGGAGTAGTTAATTCAGTGGTGGTAATATATAGAAGAAAGGAATCAGTTCAACTGGCCTTCAGCAACACTTCGGTTTCCCACGATCTCCAATCTACCTGAATGGCAAGTTGATGTAGGTCTTCCAACTCTTTACGAAGTTGAAAAAGCTATAGGAAATTTGAAGCGTGGGAGAGCAGCAGGCCCTGACAGGTTTACCCCTGAGATTTTTAAGGATGGTGGTCCAGTATTAGCAGCGAGATTGACTGAGGATTTGCGTAGAATCTGGGAACTGGACGTAATCCCATCTGACTGGTCTCAATCACTGATTGTGCCAGTCCATAAGAAAGGACAAAAGTCCTCCTGTGACAATCACAGAGGAATTAGTTTGACTAATATAGTGTCTAAAATATTAGCTTCAATATTACTTCGACGCCTAACTAAAGCTCGTGAAGAGCAGACTAGAGAAAACCAGGCTTGATTTCGACCTGGACGTAGTTGTACAAATCAGATATTCACACTACGTTAGGTCCTAGAACATAGACACACATTCAGACGCCCCACAATCGTAGTATTTCTCGACCCTAAGGCGGCATTTGACTCTGTTGATCGTGAGGTTCTATGGCAGTGTTTGTCACTGAAGGGAGTACCAAAGAAGTACATCAACCTTGTAAAGGCTCTCTACTCGAACACAACTGGTCGAGTGAGAGCTTATGGCGAACTGTCATCAGAACTGATTATCTCAAGTGGTGTTCGTCAGGGCTGTCCACTCTCTCCATTCTTGTTTAACTTTGTCGTTGACGTCCTTTTAGAGATGACACTTTCCTCATCTAAATTTCCAGGAGTTGAACTTCTACCGGGAGATCCACTTGTTGACTTAGAATATGCCGATGACATAGTTCTATTTAGTGAAGACGCTGACAGAATGCAGAGTCTGCTGACCACTCTAAGCAACAATGCAAGCATGTTTAGTCAGTCAGTCAGCTGCAACGTAGGACCAGGCACGTATATGCATCGGTCCAAGTTGCCATACCGCATTAGCACAACAAGATGAACACCGGATTCATAGGAGTAGTTAATTCAGTGGTGGTAATATATAGAAGAAAGATTGTGTATAAGGAGATAGTAAAGGAAGAAAGAATTAGTTCCTAGACAGATATGAAGCGACTTTAATCTCTTAATTTAAGGAAGACAGAGAGTGTATACACCGACGCCATTTTGATCGATTCTGAGCCATGTCACCAAGAGTCTCCAACCATTGGTTACGATAGTCACGCGGACCCCAACCAGGCAGTCTGAATCTCCCAACATGACTCAGACCAGAAGTTAGTGACTTCAAGCACTGATGCCACGTTTTGGTTTGGCCGCCCCTAACTTTCTTCCAATTATCCCCTGCACTAGTCAGCATTGCGCGTCGTGGTAATCGGTGTTCAGGCATACGCAACACGTGGCCTAACCATCTCAGTCGATCAAGATTCATAACCTCATCAACTGATTTACCATCATTCCCTAATACCCTGCGTCTAACCTCACTATTACTTACCCGGTGATCCCAGCAGATACCCGCAATATTTCTGAGGCACCTGTGGTCAAATACTAGTAACTTACGAATATCTTCCACTCTTAAAGGCCATGTTTCGCAGCCGTATAGAAGGACGGAACGAACTGCCGCGCAGTATACTCGTCCCTTAATTGATAGACGGATATCTCGCCTTCGCCATAGATGACGTAAGTTGGCAAAGGCCAAGCGAGCTTTTCGAATCCGTGCTGAGATTTCGTCAGACACCAACCCGTTAGGGCTGATCAGACTTCCAAGATAAGTGAAGTTGTCAACGCGTTCGACTACTTCACCCCCTATCCTTAGTTCAGGTGTTGATGCAGACCAGTCCTGAAGCAACAACTTGCATTTAGAGGGAGAGAAGCGCATCCCAAACATTCTAGCATTGTTGCTCAGTGCTACCAAAAGACTCTGCATTTCATCAGCGTCTTCACCAAACAGGACTATGTCATCTGCGTATTCTAAGCCGCTCTTAATAGTATTATTCAACCGATTCCTTGTGATTATATATAATACTATACCTGCATACCCTTACTTCAAATCAAATAGAATAACCCTTTACTATTTTCTTGAATACTTTCATCCTAACACAATAACTTTATTATTTGTAAAACTATGTTAGCTTGCTGCTACAAATAAAAATGCATTATAGTAAGTAAAACGACAAATACCTTCTTTAAAATAACTTCATATTTGTTTGTATTGCAGATCTGTCAAGCGTTTCTTTCTGTTGGATCAAGGTGATTTTATTGTTCATTTTATGGATGCCGCTGCAGCAGAATTACGTAAAAATAGCGAAAGTAAAAATGATTATTAATCACAAATTTGTTAATCATAATTATTTGCGTATTGTGTTCAAATAATATTACATACTATTGAGATGTATATTTTAGAGTTGTTTGAACAAATTGTGTTTGTAATATATCCTGGGATAATGCTAGCTGAGACATGATATCTATAATTGGAAAAGAGCGAGTTTCTGTCACATACCTCTCATGTATTTTTTTTCACAGTTATTTCTCAACTACGTTTAAATTCTTTATTGGAATTGGCACTTCGTACTAGCACTGCTAATAGTGATCCATTCAAAGATAGTTTATCGTAAGTAAGATTTGCTATTAAAAATGTTTTACATTAAAAAAATCGATATCATTTATTGCTTATTGTATTTAAATGATAGTTTAGTTTTATTAAACCAAACTTTTGCTGTTTCATGATTTTATTACTTTCTCTATTTATTTGTCATTTAGCGTTGTGATATTTCAATTTGATTTAATCTCTCAAATTTTAATGGTTTTACGGGCTGGATCAGAAGACGAACCGGGTAATCTAAGTTTCCACACCCTATAATTTCATTATTTTTTATGTCAACCTACTATATAATAGTTTTGTTCATTTAACTATCCGGAGAACAATTACAGGATTCTATTACTTAATTTTTCAATGTATATTAGCAGTGTTATTTATGCAGAAAAAGGTTTATCACCTTTATAGCTTTTACACTGACGAATGGTCGTGCAATAAAAATTTACTATGCTTGGTAGTTCCAATTCATCAACAACATGCTAATAGGAATCATTATCATCTGAGATAATAATAAATACATTTTAACCTTGATTAGTTAGCTGAGCACACCTAACATATGCCTTCTGATTTATTTTGAAGTTATGGTGTACCAGGAATTTGAATTGACTATATTTTCAAGTTCCACCGTATCCCGTCTAGCCATTTAAGTGGATGTCTCCAAATAAACTAACATTAAAAATGCATTCAGTGTATGTAAACTAGCATACTTTAGTTTGTTATGTTTTGACATTAGGTCTAGCCTCATTGCTTTTTTACTTTGCGGAATTAATTAATGTCTCTTAACCAGTAACTTGTTGCATTAGTTTTTATCTGGTTATTGGCTTCGTATGTATATAAACAATTCTTTAGTTAGTGACACACTAACAACAATCTTGTCTAACAAACCATTTGAAAATAGTTTAAAGAGTGACCTCTAGGTAGTTTGGAGTAATTTGTTTTGACTCAAGTAACCAATTTAAAAGCTTAATCGCAAAAGTCATTTGCTATTGATCTCCCGTAAGGTATACGAATTTCGAAGCCTGTGCAACTCACAAATCATAATTTACTTTATTATTGTTAATCTGATGATGCCCTTATTATTGGGACATTTGTGGGTTCCTAACAATATTCAGGAAGACAGGTTGTCTTCCAATTAATTGAATAGTGCCTTCCAATATTAACTTCAATTTAAAATTGTTATTCACTCCATCAAAATCAGTTGTGGTAGACAAGTTTTGAGATTGCTAACAATTCTATCAGAGATTAGTATGATCATATAGAGTGTAGCAGGACGTTTCAAATTTTAGGCATCGTATCGCAACATATTGTTTACCGCCTCTTCTATGTGTTAACGGATAACTCAGAGTCGATATATTTAAAGCGATTTAATGATGTTTTTATTAAACATACTTTTTTAATGTTAATTATTTGTGACCTAGACAACGTCATACCGATCGAGGATAAAAATCTTTCAGGACTAGAGGCTTTCTGTTTGGATTATAGAGTTGGTTGGCCTATTGATTTAGTACTCAATCGTCAAGTAATGGATCGCTATCAAATGCTTTTCCGTCATCTTTTATACTGTAAACACGTTGAGAGATTACTATGCAAGTAAGAAATACTATGTTAGCACTTTTCCTTTCATTTTGTTTACCACCTGTAAACAACAAATTATTTAAGCCGAATGAGGAATACTTGCTTACCACGGAAAATTCCACTAATCTCTGAACTATGAAAATTATGATCGCGAGTTTTAGACACAAATACCGTTTTGTATACTCCGCTTTAATCCACATTACCGTGTAAAAGATCGCTAAACTTGAAAGTTAAGTGCCAGTCAGTAACAACGTGGAACTACTAAATATGTGATTTCCTTTCTTATTATCGGGACTCACTGAGTGTATCTATTTTTTGAATAAAATATCATTTAGTGTTAATCTGGTCTCTATTCTGGGTTGTGAATCCTGGATGCGATATAACCTGACCAGTCCCATTATCGTATCAACATATTTTTGCAGCAGACGCTGTGAGGAAAATATTTTAAACTATCCGTTATATCAGATGAAAGATGTTTTTGTCATGAATACTTATTTCTAATTAAATGTTGCTGGGGCATTAAGCCTTTGGTATATATTTATTCAAAGCATAATCTTGAAATAAGTAAATGTAAACTATCGTTTAACCTTTTCACTAACATTTCAGCTCATGGATTCTAGGCAAACTTGCTCGTAAATGTGATAACCTTATGACTACCTGGTTTACAACCGCTTTCCTACTGGCCCAACGAATGCTTATTTTCATTCAACATTTCCAATATTACATGTCTGTTGAGATCATTGAACCAGCTTGGCACAATTTTTTCAAACGCGTTGACAAAGTATGTTATTGCCAATTTCTTTATTGTTATATATACACATACATCATTTCCTTAAATTCATGTATCCAAGTCGTAAAGCACGCGCATGAAAATTAACATAGCTACATTCAACAGGAGATAAATGTGAAACACACTACTTACAAATCACAAAATATTAACCTGGGCATACAATGAAGGCCACTTAACTGTTGAATCATTAGGAATTATGATAATTGAAAAATTTTGTTCCCATAAATGTGAACGTTAATTCATTTTAACGATTCCATTGGATTTTTCGCGCTGAATAAACATTTTGCTAAACAAAGCCACGAAAACAAGACTTGTGTCAAAAAAGTGTTTTGGTAGGAAAAATGGAGCGATGCAAACTAGTCATACAGGAAATATAGCACTACCCTTTAATCTGTAATACTTGTGCGTCATAATTTTTTCAGACTTGATTCATAAATTTGCTGCAAAATGTGGTATTTCTCAGTTTATACTTTAGTTTATTTGACACTTGTCTGTAACCTAAGTCATGTCTTGCTTACATTTTTATTGTATTATTTACCATAATGGATTTCTAATTTGTTCATTCTTTGGTAGGTATCTAATTTGGACTTACTTTTAGACTCACATCTGCATTTTTTAGAAGTATGTATGGATGATTGTTTACTAGCTAGTCCTGACCTATTAAGTTTAGTTGGGAAATTATCTGTAGCTTGTGTAACGTTTGCTAATTTTATCCAACACTTGGCGTTCTCTATAACGGGAGTCAATTTATCATCATCTGGAGATAATGATCAATGTATTGTTTATTTATCGCGGCACAGTAACGATATGGAAAGGCCTTTCCTACACGATCCCACACCGTCATCAAATTTAGGTCGAACAAAGAATGATTTAAAATATGCACCTCGTGAATCTACAACTAGTTCAGTAGAATCTATGATGACAAAAGTAAGTAGTCGATTGATCTTTCATTACCTGACAATATTTTTGTTTGATTGTTGTAAAACTAATGAAGTAATCAGTCTCATTCTATAGATCAGGCAAGTAGTTGCAAACATCAATTCGAGTGTGATATTCATATATTTTCATATTTATTGAAAGTTTTAACACCATTGAAGCAGCTGCTTTGTCATGTGCAAAGCATATTCGGTTTATGTATGTTGAACTATATAAGTGTTTGCTTTGGCATTATTTTCTGCGTTACTCATACGAAACGTTTAGACAAATAGATATATTACCGAAGAATATTGAAGTTATGTGCATATTTTCAAGTTGCCACGCATGTTTTTGGAACTATTCACATTAATGCTTAATACTTAGTTATCTGAATATATGGCAATAATGAACTACTGTTGTCTTAATGAATGGTCTCAGATCCAGACATGATTACTTAAATCATAACACTTCATAAACTTCAAGTTATAGTATCATTCTTAGTATATAAGCAAATAGGAGTTGTAATTCACACTAGACTTGCTTTATTCTACATAATTTTAATACATAAAAGTTCAATTTAAAACAGCCAAATTTATGTACACTCAACATCATGACCGGAAACTGTAAATTTGGGAAATATTCTGATTGCAACGAGTGCTTTTACTGCATAGTATACACTGACACAATGTCTATCAGTAAGTACATAGTAACTTCACTCCCCCATAATTTTAGGTCACTAGAGAAGAGTTTGGTAGAATGAGTTTGTCAGATGATATGGCTAAAACAGTTACGAACTTTGATACAAATTTCAATAGAATGTTAGTTGAACTGCTTGAAAAGATCAAACAATATGCCAAGCATCACAGCAAACTATTAAGTCTAGTATCAAGGTTAGTTGGTTCTTATATATTATTACTCTGATTTTCGTTTTCTGCAATTGCATCTTTTATTTTCTTTCACTACATAGTATCCCTTCAAAACTAGTTTATTCGAATCTTCTCTGGCCAACTTAAGAATTACAAGAGAGCAATGTAAATTCGAATAACAAACATAGTATTAAAAACATTAGTTTATATAGGATTTACATAGGAATCTTTTAGCATCTCTTTGATTCGTTTGGCAGCAATTATTGTTTGAACATGAATTTGCGTATTCCAAGTAGAGCTTGATGAATGTAAGTTAGAACTTTATCCTGCTAACACCAACAATCGTACTTGATTTTTTTTTCGTATGCGGTAGTAAAACCCCCAAACAACTTGTTGGTAGTTGTAAACCTTTATACATGAAAATTCCAAACACATCATAAACAACGTATGTGTTAGAAAGTACTCATGTAAACTTGAAAAACATTCTAAGGGTATTCATCAATTTTCTCTGTTGCTTGACTGTTAGTGAGTACGTATATACATCGATATAGTTGTAGTAACCTGTTATAATTCATTTCCTGGTCTGACAGTGATACATTTCTCCTTCTTGTATAGACTCGATTTCAATGAATTTTACACTGAATTTGCAATGCAATATGATCAGAGCGAGCGATCTCCCGAATCACCTGGTGATCATGATAAAGATACCCTTGTCGAACACAAATCAGTACCACAAACAAACTCGGGATCCGATAATGAGGATTATATATAATACAGAATTTGTATTTTCAGTTTATTTGGATAAATTATTTTCTATGTATTCCACTATTAACGGTTCTTGATATTAAACTTTCGTATTTTTAGTGTTATTAATTTTAATTCTAAATTCACCATATCATTTTTGTTTACTGATCACATTTACGTAAGCATTATGCCTTATATATTTTTTCTTAGTAAGATACATTATCACCGATAATCCAGGTAGTGCTAAATAACATTCGCTAGACATGTACATTTTAAACCCATCCATCACTGAAAATATTAGTGAAGTAGACAAACTAAGTGGGGCAACTAGGTCTATTTGTTAGTGAGATATTCCCATTCTGATCAACATCTACGGTAAATATCGAACTGTTTTCTGATGGGCAATACGTATCCTTTGATTATAACAAAATTTTCATTTTCTTCGTGTAACGACTTGAACAAACAAGAAATTATTAATCTCAAGAACTACACCATTTGTATTATTATCGCTTTGGATAAAATAGAATGACTACGAGAGGTTTTGAAATATGTAGAAACGTGTTTGAATCGTTCTGACAAATGTGAAAATTGTGCTTACTGTTCTCAATTTTACTCGTACAAACGTATTAAAGAGCAAATAAACGACCATATGACGTAACTTAGGTGCGTCAAGGATGAATGCGTTTACCAGCACTTTCATAAAGCTTTCTCATCTGCATAGGTTAACCTGTTATTTTATATGACGAGATAGTAGGGTCTGGCGTGCAGTTGCGCACATATTACGTAGTTCTCTGTTGGTTGACTAATGAATTAACTGTGCTGGCTAAACTTGTGATACCAACAACACATTTTTCAACATCAGTACCTAATTTTATGCTAATGTATATCATAGACACTCAGTCCAAGTAAAAAGTTATACTATTTAAAATTAGCTGTCTAGACATCAATGTTTGGTGAAGACGATAAATATAACAAAACTTAAAATTCATCGAGAAGGTCAAGAAGTATGGTTTGTTATAACAGTAAGGACATACGGAGATTCACAATAGACTAGTCTGCAAAGTGTACGTACGCCTGTCACAAATCGGCTTTCAAAACATCATCCGGTATTAGAATTCTCTCGCCAGGTTTAAATGGTGGAAGCCCACGATAAGGGCATGTAGAACATCGAAAAGCATCCCCAAGATAACACTAAAAGGTATTTCAAAAAGCAACAAATTAAACTATTCAATACTGTTCAAGAAGAAGCACCAATAAATGAGCTACACAAAATATATAATATCTACTAAATCTGAAGAAAATGGTTATAAGTGAATCGAATTAGTCAATAATGTGTTTTATATATCTATACCCTTGAATCTACAATCCAGCAGTCCACCACTAGTCTTCATGTATGTTTTAAATTTCTTCGATAAGTGTACAATTAGGCAGTGAAATATAATTCTCAGACGATTATGATATGAATGATAACATGTTTGTTTTGTGACAATGAGTGCGTAATTAGATGTTGAGTAGTAGCATTCGGTAAGGATGAATTCAGTTTAACTTACATAAAAGGTTTACACTAATAAAAATTATATTGTTCAAAATAACCTTGTGTGATAAATGGCTATATACATTCGCAAATTATATGTGCAAGCAAGAAATTCGACCATGAGGCTACATCTGTTGTCATTGCTTTCCGACCGCATAAGAAAGAACGCGTGTAGTTTTTGCTACAAAAGCTGGAATGTGCTAATTAGTAACAACCTGAAGCCCATGTGCTTCATACTTCGAATATGCAACTGAGAAACAAACTTAAAAACAGCAAAAAAATTGTCCTCAGACCGGTTTGTGTGATTGGAATATTTCCGAAAGTGACGGGTTAATACATTATCCAGTTAAGATTGGTCGGTGACGGTCTTAGTGAATTCGAGAACGATTTGTGTTTGTAGTATCCCCAGCCTATACTTTAGTAAGGCAACATGTATCATGCTGTTTGTATTTTTAAAAATGTCTAACATCTGCTTCATTATGTTTTTCTATAAAAGTATCATCACAAACCACTTGTTTGCTATGGTGTTCTAGAAAGTAAAGCAGACAATAATGACTTACATTTCCACAGGACGATATTGGGACGTCAGATTTAATTTCTTCCGCTGCTTCAATTTCAGCCAAGCCACATGTACAGTTTTTACAAGCCCTTTTCTTTTTTCCAACTGAATCCGTAACAGCGTCTTTGCCACAAACAGCCAAAGGAGTTTGCAAATCTGATTTTTGCAAAAGTGCATTTGTATTTATAATATTTCCGTTGGCGTCAGATGTATTATCAACATTTTCCCAAGCCATCTCGACATCACTGTTAGCCCACGGAAGTTTGACACTAGAACCCTGCGTATAATTGGACGGAACGGAGGCGCTGAATATTAAGTGGTTTTCACATGACAACTGAAATGTGAATAAAAAGTAAGGAAGATTGAACATCTTTTTGTATAGATACAAAATAGTACCGTTGATATTCTCCAAATCTACCAAGCATATGTACAGAATTCATTAGTCACTGTTGTAATTTCTCTTTTTGCTTAGTATTTTTGAAAACATATTCACTCGACATCTGACGCTTAAATGAAGCCAGAACAAATATAGATGCAGAATATTACGAATTCATTATATTTCGTGGTTTCTCATCATTTGCTTACAACTAAATATGTATTAGAATTTTACATTGAGGTAAGAAATGTCATGAAACAATTCATATAAGTGGATGTGAAGAATTGGAATGACAAGGGTTATCAATAATAACTATATATATGCAAGAACAGGTCAGAGGTTATTTGGTGTTAGAATCAAGGAATAATAGTTGGGCGGAGTTCAGAGGCAGATAAGATAAATTGTGTGGTAATTTTACAGGTAATGAAGGATTGTTGGAAATGCGAACATGTTCTCTTCTCTCGGTTCTTCCAATGTATGTGCTTTGGCACCTTGGTAATCGTTAAGTCATTCTATGGCCTAGGATAACGCGACAATTTCTTATTATTTCTCTCCGCTATGTTGTTTTTTTTTGTTTGTACTTTAACTTTCATGTAATTGACCTTTATTAATTTTTATATAAAATGCCCTGACAAGTATATGTGTGACCAGATTGTTCGAAATGTATAGCGCAAATACATCACATTTTTCAGATCAACTCCGTCTTCCCATTGTTCTATCGAAAATCGATATCCTTGTGTGCTTCCTGGTTTCTGCATAACCCAGCCAGTTAAGTCCAGAATACCAATATCAGCCTCTGCGATATGAATCACTTATTTCAAGAATACTGGGTTTATATACCAACCAGACAGACCACATCGTACTAATAAAATAGGAGACAACATTTATACAAGATTTGGCCAAATGTAGCTGTGAATGTGAGAGGTAGTATTTAATAAACAGGGCATAATTCAAGAATGGTAGATCGTATAATAATAGTTCATAGGTCAAAGTAAAGCTCATAATAAGAGGGACATGAATATGTATAGTTTAGTTATTTACCAATTATACGATAAAAATATACGCATAGTATTGGTCCATAAATGGATCCCAAAAGTTACCATTCATTATGCTTATCGGGACATAACACTTATATGGAACTACTGGTCACTACAATACTTTATTTATTGTTCGACTTCAATAATCACTTATAGTACACTAAATGAGATATTTGCGAAATGAAAAATAGGCTTGATTTACTTCTGCTTTACTTAAAACAAAAACTCTGGAAATGTACGATTCTGTAAAAAAAAAAATACCAAAAGGTTATAGCACATAATTCTGTAGCTATTACTTTGCGTACTATAAATATCATACCTGGTAAGGATTTATATACCCAGAGAGAGTTAGGTTCTTTTTCAAAGAATTCCAGTCACCGGTAATTAGATCACGACCAAAAAATCGCCCACCAGGTCGCAAACAGGATAAAAGGTTTGATAACAAGCCAAGTTTGAGTATGTTTACACTTATCGAGTTAGGCCAACCACATAGTATGACAGAACAATCGTGAAACTGACTATCTACAGTTGAACTGTCCATGAATTTCTCCAAATTTTCGAACTGTAGCTTCTTAACATATGTAGAAACAGCCACTTGTAGATCACGCATAACGTCTTCTTGAACTTCGCCCGACCATACAATCATCACACAGTCATCACTGTTAAGACAATCAGCTACACATTGTTCCATGATGACACCTGAGTAAAAGTAATGACGTATGTAAATTTATTTTGACAAATTATATTTACGTTTTGAAATAAAGTTAAGATAAACAAACTAAGTATCAATGCTGTTTTAGTACACAAATGGAACAAACAGAAAGTTGAAGAATAGATACATTTTACTGACATAAGTGGTAGAATAGTCTACATGACGATTAATATGTGCACTTCTTGAAAACGAAGTATAAAATTCAAATACTTGCACACTTTCAAATCATTAACCTACAACGTTGCAGTAAAGAACCAACTACCGCCGGGCAACATTTGGCGCGCTTCAATGACTTAAATCGAAGGCCAGGAGCAACGGTTCTTTGAGAAAACCACCTGTTGGGATCTCTGTATTCACGAGGCTTCAGAACTCACGATGATTCAATGATATTAGACGGTCGTGTTCAAAAGATATAAAACAAATTTGTTTCATTTCACTTTGATATCCTACTTTCTTCTATTGTACGTTTTCTTATAATAATCTCAATATTGAAGCTAATTACTGTTAACAGTTCTGCGCTGTCGCTAAACAAACCTAACAAAACTTTTAAGAAACCACGTGTGCTATTTTAGCTCGTTACCGTCGGCACTCCCAGACCGGTGCAGATCGAACAACTGACAGCTTTAATTGTCACTGAATCCTCGACATTGACGTATGCTGTGTAACTGAGACTAATATTCAAGGTTTTATGAAGTATTACGACTGCGTTCGATCTCTCAAATGAAAGAGCTTAACGTATGCTTTGTCAAGAAACTCCGTAGAGTCGGCGCCCTGGACAGGTTTGGTGTGACAATAAGAGCTAGAGCAGTCAGTCAGTAACAAAGTGGAACTTCGTACGTACGTACGTACATCAGTTGGAGTTGCCATACCACATTAGCACAGAGATTCAGTTATCGATTCGGATCCCGTAGTGGTAGAGGTAGTGAAGGTATAAGTAGTGGTAGGGAACATTAGGGTTTGATTATGTTATTTAAGGACTATAGTCCAGTGGAATAAATTTGGAAAGAAAATAAACGACATGAAGAATTCAGAAGATTAGAGTTTGAGAGAACACAAAGTGTGGATGCACCTGCGCTATTGCAAACGATTTTGAGCCATGTCATTCAAGGTCGCTAACCATCGGTTGCTATCATCTCGCGGTTCCCAACCAGGTAGTCTATACCTACCAACATGACTCAGTCCACTTGTCAGTGACTTCACGGATTTCTGCCATGTTTTGGTCTGGCCACCTCTACCTTTCTTCCAACCTACTCCTACACCATAAAACATCGCACGTCGGGGCAGTCGGTGGTCGGGCATACGTAACACATGTCCCAACCATCTCAACTGATGAAGTTTCACTACTTCCTCAATTGATTTGCCATCCTTACCTAGTACCCGTTTCCTAACAACCGCATTACTTACTCGGTGGTCCCAGGATATACGAGCAATGTTTCGAAGACATTTATGATCAAATACTAGTAACCTACGAATATCCTCTACTCTTACTGGCCATGTTTCACTGCCATAAAGTAGGACGGAACGAACTGCTGCGCAGTAAACACGTCCTTTGGTTGATATACGGATATCTCGCCTACGCAACAAACGACGCAAGTTAGCAAAAGCTAGTCGAGCTTTCTGTATCCGTGCTGAGATTTCGTCACACACCAGACCACAAGGGCTGATGAGACTTACAAGATAAGTGAAGCGGTCGACACGCTCAACTACTTCACTCCCTATCACTAGTCCGGGTGCCGATGCAACCCAATCCTGAACCAACATTTTGCATTTCGAGGGAGAAAATCGCATGCCGAACATGCTTGCATTGTTGCTTAGAGTGGTCAGCAGACTCTGCATTCTGTCAGCGTCTTCACTAAATAGAACTATGTCATCGCCATATTCTAAGTCAACAAGTGGATCTCCCGGTAGAAGTTCAACTCCTGGAAATTTAGATGAGGAAAGTGTCATCTCTAAAAGGACGTCAACGACAAAGTTAAACAAGAATGGAGAGAGTGGACAGCCCTGACGAACACCACTTGAGATAATCAGTTCTGATGACAGTTCGCCATAAGCTCTCACTCGACCAGTTGTGTTCGAGTAGAGAGCCTTTACAAGGTTGATGTACTTCTTTGGTACTCCCTTCAGTGACAAACACTGCCATAGAACCTCACGATCAACAGAGTCAAATGCCGCCTTAGGGTCGAGAAATACTACGATTGTGGGGCGTCTGAATGTGTGTCTATGTTCTAGGACCTAACGTAGTGTGAATATCTGATTTGTACAACTACGTCCAGGTCGAAATCAAGCCTGGTTTTCTCTAGTCTGCTCTTCACGAGCTTTAGTTAGGCGTCGAAGTAATATTGAAGCTAATATTTTAGACACTATATTAGTCAAACTAATTCCTCTGTGATTGTCACAGGAGGACTTTTGTCCTTTCTTATGGACTGGCACAATCAGTGATTGAGACCAGTCAGATGGGATTACGTCCAGTTCCCAGATTCTACGCAAATCCTCAGTCAATCTCGCTGCTAATACTGGACCACCATCCTTAAAAATCTCAGGGGTAAACCTGTCAGGGCCTGCTGCTCTCCCACGCTTCAAATTTCCTATAGCTTTTTCAACTTCGTAAAGAGTTGGAAGACCTACATCAACTTGCCATTCAGGTAGATTGGAGATCGTGGGAAACCGAAGTGTTGCTGAAGGCCAGTTGAACTGATCCCTAAAGTGTTCTGCCCATCGATCCAATCTCCTGGATTGAGAATGAATAACATGTCCATCCTTCTCTGAGATCGTTTCGCTAACAGTTGGGTTCCTAATACCGGTTTCCTTGACAGGTTTGAACAGTTGTCTATTGCCACTGCCTTTTCCATCTCTTGCTTTCGCTGCCCACCACTGTTCACGATTATTGAGTAGGCTTCTAGTCAGCTTACGCTTAAGCTGACTTCGTTCTTCGTTATGTTCAGAGCCAGATGGAATGAGTTTTCGAGCATCTATCAGTGCGGTAGATGCGGCTGAGCTCCAGTGTTTCTCCCTAACCTTGTGGTTTATCGTATTTGAGGACATCACTGCTGTTTCTACAGCTTTTCGGATGTAATTCCACGCTGCCTCGGGGTGGGCATCACTTACATGGCTGCCTAACTGTTTTTCTAGTTGTTCCTGAAATATACTCTTAGCTTGACTATCATTAAGTAGGACCCTAAGGGGTTTCCTTGCAGCATGTTTCCTACGTCCAGTAAGACGTAGACAAATACGCGCTCGCACTAGAGCGTGATCTGAGTCTATGCATGTGCCCCAGAATGAGCGACAGTCTTCTATCGAGCCCCTCCATCGGTGGCTGATAGCGATGTGATCTATTTGGGTCCAGCGTTGGGACGAATTAGGGGTTCGCCATGTTAAAAGATGTTTTCCTTATGCTTAAAGTTAGTGTTTGCAAGAAACAGGCGGTTATCTGAGCATAGCTGCAACAGACGGTCGCCGTTATCTGTTCTTTGAGCCGCGACACCATAAGACCCACCCAGGTATCTTTCCCTTTCGCTTAGTTTACCTACTTGAGCATTAAAGTCCCCAGCCACTATTACTACATCTGAACGCCTAGATTTTCGGAGAAGGTCGGAAAGCTTTCTGTAAAACTCATCTTTTACATCATCTGAGCTGCAGTTAGTGGGAGAGTAGGCAGAGACGACGAAGAGGCAACGACGAGTGTCCCTATCTTTTCGAGTCCTTACTGTTCCGTTTAGTCGGACAGCGTACAAACGACTGTCTACTGGGATCCAGTCTAAGAGAGCTAGTTCTGCCCTAGGACTCAATGCTATACCTACGCCAGCGAGGCCACGGGAAGCAGCATCAGGGCTTCCAGATACACGAAGCGTAAATCGAGTTGGTTCGTTACTTTGACATGGTGCGGTCAAATGAATGACACTGCTAGGATCCTGTATGCGCGTTTCGGAGACGCAGCCCACATCTATAGAGCGAGATTCTAAGGTCCTAGCTAAGGAGGCCTGGTGTCCTATTTGGCACAGTGTTCGGACGTTGAAAGCTCCTACGTGTAGTTTAGAGCGTGGTTTCAGGAGACCAGGAATAACATTCCGCGTACTCGAATCGTTTGCACTAGCGGGGCGAGGTGATAAAGGGACGTGAGAAGGGTTGGTCGTGGAGATAAGAGAGTTATTAGGAGGTGTAGGAAGGATTTGAATGTGACCAACTTGGTCTCGTGTGCTGTTACGGGTATCAGGGATGATGTCACTTCCCGGCTGCCCACATCGTGGAATGGTATTTCTTGAAGGACCTGAAAAAGAAATCGGATTAGTGTTGGTCTTAGCGACTTGAGTGCGTGACCGCAGAGCCCAAGGGACAACTGCTTGAGGCCGTTCGCGCACGGCCTTTTTGTGGGAGGTTTTTAATGTGTTAGCTCCGTTCTTCAAAGGGCCTTGCCGCCGGAGACGGAAATCCGTGGGGTAAGGTGAGGTGTGACATTTTTAGGGTCAACCTTTTCTAACCCCTTCCTTCCTTGTGAGAAGGCAGCATCGCTGCAGATGCTGGTTGTCCGAGGGAAACACCTTACTGCTGTGACAGCTCTGTACGGTCAGCAGTACGACTTCGCCCTCAGACCTTGAGTTGCTGCTTATGATACGATGGATACTAGCTCAGTTGTTATAAGAATTGATTTCCAGAAAAGCGAGGCATGCTTCAAACTTCTGCTTGTTTTGGTCGCCAAGAAATCTATTGTCTGTTAAATCCCATGTGTCAAAACTAGCTTCTTTTAGAACCAACTATTAACTTATCAAGTCGTCTAAATCTGCACTGACTAAACTCACAAGTCCTCCCTGGTTGAACTTCAGTTATCAACTTGTAGTAATAAAATAATAACAATCTTACTTCATTATTAGCAATTAGCGTTCATAAGTACGCTTAGTACCTTCGCAATGCAAAGTAGTTCTTCAAGAATGGTAATGGCTTGCAAGAAAGTAATGTTTTATATAAATAACAATTCTAAGTATTTACTTGTCTT